GTGTTGTATCCTCTGGATAAGCTGCTTCGTCTCCTGCTTCTGGATCGGGTATGAAATTTGGCCCTATCCTTTCTGCTTCATTTGTGTTGACTGTCGCAGGTGTTACGTAACCGTTGTCGGCGAAGTGATAGAAGACTTCGGCGTTGTTACTGTCGCGAGGATTTTCTTCGTCCATGGGCACGACGACGGAGCAGTACGGGAGAGGTCCGGCTTCTTCCGATGCGTTGTCGACGTTCTGTTCATCCCAGTCTGCTTCGTCCGCTGCTGAGGCGAAGTCTTGGTCACCACGAAAGCCACCTGTGAGGTCCCGATTCTCGTGCAAGTTGGCGAGGTACGTCTGAAGGGTGAGTCGCTCGTAGAAGATCACATCACGTGCAGCTACTGTTTCCTTTGTGTGGACGTCGAAGATTTTCCACGCGTTGTGATGTTTCTCGATGCCAAGGTGTAGTCCCCACTGTGCCCATTGTGAAAATCTTCCCGCTCGTGCTTCTGGGGGTCTGTACTGTACCATGCATCCGAAAACTCGTAACATTCTTGTGCTGCCCAGCTTCCCTGTCCACAGCAGATGCGGTGAGGCGTTGTTCGGGAGTGACGACGACGACAACAAGTTGTGCAGCATGACAGCATTGTCCATTGCTGCAGGCCACTGGTGGTTGGGTAGCCGCATGCCACGTAGCAGTTTGCGCATGCTGTTCTGCAGAGTCCTGTTCATTCTTTCTGCTACACCTTGCTGCTGATGTGCGTAGGGAAGGGAGAGGAGTTGCTTGATCCCTCTTTCCGCCAGGTACTGCTTGAAGCGCTGAGAGGTGTACTCTCCTCCTCCGTCTGACTGGAAGCTTTTCAGTTGTGTTCCTGATTCCCTCTCTGCTACCGGTAGCCAAGCGGCTAATGCTGCGAGTGCCATGTCGCGGCTGGGTAGGTTGCGATGCCAGACGTATCGAGTGGCGGCGTCGATGAAGGTGATCGTGTAATTGTAGGTGACTTGTCCTGGTTCTCGATTGTAGAGGATGTCGCTGTAAACTTTCTCGAGTGGTGCGTATGCAGGTGCGCTCGGGTTGTGGTGAGAGGAAAACGGTCGATGGGGTAAGTCGGCTTCGGGGCAGATGAGGCAAGTCCCTCGTGCACGTTGAAGTTCTCTGCCGTCGAGTAGTAGTAGCGAATCCTTGTCTAGAACTCCTGCTCGTATTGTGTTGTTTAACACCGTGTTGCTTGGATGTCCTGTACGTGCGTGCCAGATGTCTTCAGGAGCGCGATGTCCGGGTGAGCGTTGATACGCGTCAGAGTTGGAGTAGAAGTTGGCGACGATGTTTGCGCTTCGGTGGACTTCTCGTTGAGTCGGGTTCAGCTGTTGTGCGGGTGTTGGTGGTGTTTCGATGACTGGTGTCGTTGGTCCTGCTGCTTTCGATGATGGTTCTGCTGCTGCCGATGATGGTTCTGCTGCTGCCGATGTTGTCTCTGTTGCTGTCGATGTTGTCTCTGCTGCTGTCGTTTGTTGAATCGTTGCTAATGCTCGTGTTCGTTCTGCTTCAGGGATGGTGTGCGAGTACCAGAAACCTCCTGGGCTGAAGTCGGGATCGAGATCCGGAGGATGAGTCCAGTCGGTGAAGTTGACGATGGCGTCGCTGTCTGCAGTGCCCAGGTCGGGGACGAAATCGAGGACGAAGACGTTATTCTTCAACACTGCTTTTCCGATGTAGAGGCCGCCCTTCCCGTGGTATAACTTAAACTCCTGGGTGGTGCTGTCGGCTTCCAAGTGGATGCCTTTCGCCATCAACTGGCTGACACTCAGTAAGTTGTAGCCTAGTCCCTCCGCGATAAGTACCTTTGACATGTGTAATATGACATTTGTTTCTCGTGACTGAAGCTGTACCGCTCCTTGTCGTCGTGTGCGCAGGTTCTGATTGTTGGCGACCGTGATGACTACTTCTCGCTGGAGTCGATGTTCGCGTTGAACGAAGCGCCCGGAGGAGCACATGTGTTGTCCGCAGCAACTATCCAAGAACCAAGTATCTTGGCCAGATGGTTCGCTTTGAGCGATGGCGGCGTACGTCGGATTCGGCTGGAGTGATTCGCGGCGAGGCGTCCTGTTGTCGAGCTCTTCTTCCGGTGAGTAGTGGGGTGGTGACTTGGTTGTGCACGAATCGGTTATCTTCACCATGCAATTGACGATGCTTCTTGTTCCTTGTGCAGGTTGTCCAGTTGAAGTCGTTGTAGCTTGGATTGTGGTCGTCGGACTTGCTTGCGTTGAAGCAACTTGGGAGCTTGAAGGCCGGAGTTGTCGCTGTGGTGTTGTCTCACGAGACGGGCAGTGCGTGCGAGGATGGCCCGAAGTCTTGCAGATGTGGCAGAATGGAGGTACTGTCTTTACTTGTTGTTGACGGTTGTTGTTGCCGTTGTATCGTCGCTGAGTGTGAAACGCAAACTCTGGTGCTAATGCTTTCTTCTTGTGTCTTTCTTCTTGCAGGTCCATGTCTTGCTGCTCAGCATGAATTTCGACGCAGAGTGCCGCTTCGAAAATCCTCCCGTGTGCTCGTAATATGGCGCGAGTGGAGTGCTAGTGGGGGCCGAGACCGCCGATGACCACCGTGACTAAGGCGTCTTCTGAAATCGACCCGCCGCATCGAAGAAGCTTGTCGCGCAGTTCGCGACAGCGGCTGATATAAGCCATGCCTTTCTCGCCTGGTTTCATTTCAATCGTTGTCAGCTGCGCCATTAACCTGCTTTGATTTACGCTGTCTGTTGCTTGATACAGGTTCTTCAGGTGGTTGTACGCGAGCTCCGCGGAGTTGCCGTAGCCTCGGTAAGTCCTGATGTTCTGCTGCTGGGTCGGGGTGATGTTCCTCAGCAGTATCGTGTACGCCATCATCGATTGATAAGTATATTGCTGCTTCTCATATTGCGTCCCGTTTGTTGGATATGGCAGGGACCCGTCGAAGAAGCCGAGAATCTGTGCTCCTTCCATCATCAGTTCGAACTCGAACGACCAGGTGAAGAAATCTTTGCCGTCGAAAGGCTTTGTCGTTTGTAGTTTTAAGACATGCGCGAATTGCGATTGAACTTGTAACGCATCCAATGCCCTTTCTTGTCCTGGTGCAGGTTGCGGTTGCGGCATGAAGCTGACGGAGCCACGCTGGGGCTCGTATGGCGCAAAGGTAGGTTGTTGTTGTTGTTGTTGTTGAATCCCGCGTGCGTAGGATGAGCCATCGAGACTCATAGGCGTCACGTTGTTGTTGTTGTTGCTGTTGTTTGATTGCGCAGGTGCTCCTTGCTGGTGCTGCCCGTAGAAGGACATGAAGGAGAAGAACTTTTCCATCATGCTTGGATCGAAGCCTGCGGGCGTTTCCGTAGACCCAGCTGCTGGTCTCGTGGTAGTCCCTTCCTCTGTCTGTAGACCAGAGACAGGAGGTGGAGTAGGAGTAGTGCCTGGAGAGCCGTTGGAGGAGCTCCTCTCCTTCCTTGCAGACATGTCTTCTTGTATTGAGTGTTAAAAGGAAAACAACTTTAAAAACTCTAACTGCTCTCATACCATGTTGGGCTGAAGTGCCCTAGGATCTTTGTAGAGTTTTAAGTCTGAGTAGAATTGTAGTAGCGGAAGCGTTTGAATGAAAGTACTTGAACCACCTTGCGCTAGTATGTGAGGGCAAAGTAAGTTGATTAAACAAGCAAATACAAAGGTTTATATAAGAGTACAAGGAATACGAATAGATAAGTTAAAACCGTTTTACCGTTGCGATTCGATACAGTGCGACTCGGGCAACTGCTCAATGTCGAGTCAGTTGTGTGTCCTTGCTGTCGCGCTGTATTTGTCAAGTCAAAGGTCGCTGACCTTTGACCTTCTCGTAACCTCCAGGCGGTTACCCTAACCTCCGAGGGTTGACTCGCGATGCTTCGATTCGGACTGCTTCGCTAGTGTCCTGAGTTTCGACACGACAGAGGCGCTTAAGACTTATTATTCCCAACAGAGTGCAGGTTTGGGGTTGAAAAACCCGAAGGCGACGCGGAGGGCGTTCGGAAGGCGAGGTCATCGGACCGAGCCTGAACTCCGAAAATTTGGACTTGTACGCGTACGGAGTGCCTCAGTAAGGAATTAGGAAATTTCCTTACAAATGTCATGTAGAGAAGAAATACGGTACTTTTGGTAGTTCTGAATATTTGTAAGCTGGTTATGTTTGCACATCCATGTACCCGCTACTGACCTGTTTTAGCTACAAGTCTAGCATGGACGAAACCTGCAGTTACTACACATCTACTCGCCGCACGAGGTTGAGGTGCTGTCCGGTTTCGCGAAACTCGACGAAAAGTTCAAGCGTCACTTCGGCTCCGTGTAGCGCCACTTGCGGACACTGGATTCCGGAACAGGGACCCCCAAACTGGGATTGGAAGGAACGCGTCACGACGTCGATTGACATGGCACCGTGAGCACAAATAATTGTGTACATTTCCAGGCGACCTTGCCCAGGCTTGTCGAGGCTATGGCTGGTGCTGCTCGGCAAGCCTCGAGCACTGCTGCTGATCTTGGTCGCTGTAGGTTGTGATGTGATACTCCCAATGGATACTGAGTTTGTTGGTAAAGCTAGTCTCTTGAGCTCCCTTGCGCTCACGCTGAGCCTTTTTTTCGGCTTGTCTCGTCGGCCTCGTGCTAGTCGTCTCTCTATCCTTGGTTGTTTTAGAACAGCACTCACTAATCATAGCAGGTCCTCATCGTAATCGTATTGACTACATAACAGGCCCTGCCTTTACTTTTGTGATTAACGATGTTGGCTGGAGCGGACAATGTGACATTGCAATGAACGAGGCGGCCATACAAGGCCCCGATGTTTCTTCTTTTCCATGTTAGAGCAACTGCACGTGCAACGTATCGCTTGGTCTTGAATTTTCAATTCGTCACTTAACTTATTGCGGTCTAGAAGAGTAGTATAGTACTAAATAGGACACCGCAGTCCACAAATTTCCTGCAAAGAATATCTGATCCTTCCGAAAAGGGAGTTTCAGCTTATTCAATGGGGCCCGTGTCGAGGGGCGCTGACGTGCCACAACAGCCGGAGAATGGGGAGGGGGAATCGTCGCGGAAAGTGATAGTGCCTGAGGTGAGAGCAACGGCTGCAGTAAGCGTGTATCTCATCCCTTCATGTAAGATCACGTTGAGGTCGTTTCGTGATTCACCCGAATGGAGGCGATGGAAGGACCAACGGTATCGATAAAGTCGTCGGTGGAGCGTCACGCTCGGTAGCCAAGATCGTTCGTTTTTTCAAGAGGGTGCATATTTTATATTGCATATTAGGTTGCAGATTGGGAGACTGAGAGATCGGCAGTCTGTTTATGCCATTCCCCTTGCGTCCCATCGCATCCTGTGGGCCCCCAACATTCTCGCCTTTCACTTCCGGCTGTCGGGACCGCAATGCAATGGGTGGTGTCGTCGGTGCTGGACATGTGCGGTAGCAGATCTGAGAAATCTCAAAATGCGAGACGTGTTGTGAGGCATCTCAAAACTCAGTTACCTCCTTTTGATGTTGTTGTGACTGCAGGGCAAGGGGTGGCGTCAGTGCTGGTCATATGTGGGCCCAGGCTTTCTTGTCGCCATCGCATATATCGACCCCGGTAACTGTAAGTCCTCTCGTACTCGTTATAACCTCATCTTTCCTGTTGAAGTATCCACTTCAGCACCCCCGATCTTCAACAATCCTCCCAGTCCATCCACTCCTGGCGTTTCATCCAGGCGCCTCCCGCTTTTCTCACTTGCAACTCAATAGCAAGCAAACCAGTAATTACAGGCGCGATTCACGGCATCTGCCAAATTCACTGCATCCTGCTCTGCCTCGCTGCGTTCCTCCCCGCCAACTGATCCCTGTCCAGTCGAGAGCGATTTGAAAGCGGGAGCTGCATACAAATACACGGTGAGCACGGTTGCGGTGGAAGTAGAGAGGAGGGGAGGGAACTGAAGAATGGAGGGGATAGAAAGGGGAAAGGGATGGGGTGCGGAGAAAGTGGGAGGGAGGGAGGGGTGAGGAGAGAAGAGTACGGAGAGAGAAAGGTGGTTGGAAGAGTGGGAGGCGAACGAGGGCGCCGACACTCCATTTCGTGCTCTTTCCTTTTGGCCCACCTATAATGTTAGAGGGCCCTACAACAGCAAGGGACCTCGATCACCTTTGCTCTCTCGTTATCGCTACGCTCTCTAATAGATTCCTTCAAATAACGTCGAATTTCGTTACGCACTCGCTCTCCTCTCTCTCCTCTCCTCATCACAGCTCCTCTGGGCGCTGCTGCTCGCCTCGATAGCAGGCCTCTTCATACAGTCACTCTCAGCCAACCTCGGGATTGTCACAGGTAAGCCAAGCTGCCACCTCTTATCTTCCTGGTCGATTCAAACAACGACTAGGAAGTACCATCGGTATCAGCAAATCCCCACCATTTTGCACTCTCAACCCTTGGCTTTCAATGCCCCACTCCCCAAATATTTCTTACTCCCTTGATCCTCTCTCTCCTATGCTGGCTGATTGTGACGGCATTCCCTGCCCCATTCGAACGCCAGGCAAGCATCTGGCGCAGCACTGTCGCCAGGAGTATCCCTCGGGTCTCAACGTCGTGTTGTGGATCATAGCAGAGATCAACGTCATCGCCAGCGACGTTCCCCAAGGTGACCTTCCTGCCCATTCCGCTGTGTGTGCGTGAGCATTCCGAAGTGCGGTTCTTGTGTATTCCGCCTGGAGTACCCTTCGGGTCTCAACCTCGTGTTGTGGGTCATTGCAGAGATCAACGTCATCGCCAGCGACGTCCCCCACGGTGACCTTCCTGCCCATTACGCTGTGTGTGATACAGCTTGATCCTTCTCACCGTGTTCCGTTCCTTCTCTCCTCCCTTCAGTTTGGTCCTTCTCCAGAGCCCTCGCTCCTAAACCCCCTACCTCCCTGCTCTCAACCTCTCGGTCCGTTCATGCCTCTCACCTCCCTGCGTTTCCCTTCGCTTCTCCCTGTCCTTCTCTCCTCCCTCGCAGTGGTGGGCACTGCCGTTGCTCTCAACCTCTCGGTCCGTTCATGCCTCTCACCTCCCTGCGTTTCCCTTCGCTTCTCCCTGTCCTTCTCTCCTCCCTCGAAGTGGTGGGCACTGCCGTTGCTCTCAACCTCTCGGTCCGTTCATGCCTCTCACCTCCCTGCGTTTCCCTTCGCTTCTCCCTGTCCTTCTCTCCTCCCTCGCAGTGGTGGGCACTGCCGTTGCTCTCAACCTCTCGGTCCGTTCATGCCTCTCACCTCCCTGCGTTTCCCTTCGCTTCTCCCTGTCCTTCTCTCCTCCCTGCAGTGGTGGGCACAGCCATCGCACTCAACCTCCTCTTCCCCATCCCCCTGTGGGCCGGTGTGCTTATAACGGGCTGCAGCGCCCTGCTGCTCCTTGCGCTCGAGAGATTCGGGGTGAGTGCTCCTTCTTTTGAGGGGCCTCATAAGGGGTGCTTATAGCGGGCTGCAGCGCCCTGCTTCCTCTAGCCCTCGAGAGGTTCGGGGTGAGTGCAATGCTCCTTCCCTGCAAAAACGGGCTTTCAACAGTCGTTCAACTTGTTCGGATTCAGTCACAACACAAGACTGATAACAAACCCCATGCGTCTCGTCTGGTGACATATCGTCTGAGGAACAACTGGATGGTGCTATTTTGCGATGTCTTATTGGGGACTCGATGCAACAACTGCAAGACACCTTCCTGCACTTTCCTTGCTACTGGCGTTTCAAACGCTAAGAAAAAGTGGCTCATTACTCGCAGTTCAGTCTCCCTTCCGCTCCCCTAACCTCTTCCCTTGTCTCCCCCTTCCTCCCTTCCCGCTCGCCTTATAGGCGCGGCCTCTGGAAACGATAATGGCGCTGATGGTGCTGCTTATAGCGGGGTGCTTTATAGCGGAGATGGTCAAGGCGTTACAGCCGTCGGACGTGGGAGAACTCTTCAAGGGCATGGTTGTGCCCCAGGTGAGAAATCAGATGCCTCAGGAGAGTATTCAGGTGGTGCAGGTGGTGCCTTTCATGCAATCAGGTGTTTCAGGTGAGACTAGATGCTCAGGTGGCGTCAGGTGGAAGAAGAATTCTTCAGGTGGCTCTTGTTCTCAAAGAGATTATGCTCTTAGAAGGAGTATGCTGCATGCATACATGGAAGGCGGCACCAATGGCAGCAGCACACGTGGCAGCAGCACAGTCGGCAAAAAAGAAAATCAATGGCCGCATCCCCGGTTATGTGCGGTCGTGTGCCAAACCCAAAAAGATGTGACACCTGTTGAGAGGTCTCAAATCTCCTATCCTCCACTTCTCTCCCGCGCATCCTTACCTGACAGCTGCAAAATGTGGGAGCACTTGCGGTCGCCATCTCAATCCTTGGGGCCACCGTCATGCCGTGAGTTAGCGACTTATTTCCACTTTCCCTAACCATCCCGCCACCCTCCTCCCTTTTCAAACCCCCCACCCCCTTCAACCCCTGCCTCCCCCTCACACAAATGGCCTCTGTTGCTGATCACCGTGCGTGCCTGGTACAATCTCGTCCCCTTCTCTCTGTTCTGCATTCAGCCCGTTTCTATCCCAACCCCAAACCACCATGTACATCATTCTTCCTGCTCTGCTCCCCCGATCTCTTACCTTCCCCTTCTCCTGTCTCAAGCCGTGCATCCTGCCACGCAGAACCTCCCTCGCCCTACCTTCCCCTCTCCCCTGCGCCCCTCCAGCCACAATCTCTACCTTCACTCCGCCATCGTTCTCACCCGCAAGCACGCAGTTCGGAGTCGTCTCAAAACCCCCTTTCCCCCCCCCTGCTCTTATCTCTCCTTCACCTCTCTCCAACCATGCCTCCCTCCCACTCTTCCCACCCCCTCCAGCCACAATCTCTACCTTCACTCCGCCATCGTTCTCAGCCGCAAGCATGCGGGCACCACTCGGGCCATCAGGGTAAACCACCCGTGTTTATAGGTTGAACCTCTTATGCTGTTAATTTGAACCACCAGTTGTATACCAGGAAAAAACCGGGTAGCAGTAAGGCAGTTACGCCAAGAAATTAAGGCGTATAACAGCGGAACAGAGCAGTGATATGCGAGGGGGTATTTTTTGAGGCGCCTCAAAAGACACCTCACTAATTAAGGCATGTAACAGCGGAACAGTTTTGAGGCGCCTCAAAACTAGAGAAATTAAGGCATGTAACAGCGGAACAGAGCAGTGATATGCGAGGGGGTATGCTGTAATTGCTTAAGTCATAGCAAGCTGGCATATTCCATCTCTCGTGAGCGTCCCCATTGACGCCTTTCCCCTCGACCCATCCCCATTCCCCAGTCATCTACCCTCTTCCCACCCCCTTTCGAGCTCGCGCTGGCACTGCTGCTCAGCCTGGGCATCAACACCTGTCTCCTGACCCCTTTTCAATCCCACTCTCTAAACCCCTCTGAACCCCTTTACACCTCTCAGACCGCCAGCCACTACTCTGTCTTGGAACTCGCTCTAGCACTGCTGGTCAGCGTGGTCATCAACGTGGCAACCACTGCTGTGACCATCACTTCCTGTGACCATCACAAACACCTGTTTCCTCTCCTGTCACCCTCTGAACCGCTTCCCACCTCTCAGACTGCCAGCCACTACTCGCTGCTAGAACTCGCTTTAGCGCTGCTGATCAGCGTGGGCATCAACGTGGCAGTCATTTCTGTGGCTGGCGCCGTCTGCCACTCCGCCAGTCTGCCGCCCAGTGCAGCTCAAGCGTGTGCCAACATCAGCATCAGCAACGCGCACGTGCTGCTGACGGTGAGGCTTTAGAAGCAGGGGGTGTGACACCAGGGTGTGTAAGGGGGAGGTGAGATGAGCATCAGCGTTAGCAGCGCATGCAGGTGCTGCTCACGGTGAGGGGAGCGGGCGCTGATGGAAGCAGGGTGTGGGGTGTGAGAGTGTGAGAGTGTCAGTAGGAAGGATGTCAGTGAGACGGTTGTAACCACGGAGGCTGTTCCCCATTTCTTCGCCTCTCCTTGCCATCTAGTTGCCTCTCCTTGCCATCTAGTTTCCTCTCCTTGCCATCTAGTTTCCTCTCCTTGCCATCTAGTTTCCTCTCCTTGCCATCTAGTTTCCTCTCCTTGCCATCTAGTTTCCTCTCCTTGCCATCTAGTTTCCTCTCCTTGCCATCTAGTTTCCTCTCCTTGCCATCTAGTTTCCTCTCCTTGCCATCTAGTTTCCTCTCCTTGCCATCTAGTTTCCTCTCCTTGCCATCTAGTTTCCTCTCCTTGCCATCTAGTTTCCTCTCCTTGCCATCTAGTTTCCTCTCCGTACCTCAACCCTTCGTCTCCACTCCACCCCAGGACGTGCTGGGTAAATGGGCAGGGACGCTGTTTGGAGTGGCACTGCTGGCAGCAGGGCAGAGCAGCACTGTCACTGGGACGTATGCCGGGCAATACGTGATGCAGGTGAGGTTTGGACCCAGGCCGGTCAGCATGTGATGCAGGTGGGATTAGGCAGTATGTCATACGTGTAAATCTTTTGCAGCAAAAGGGACTGGCTGCAGGGCAGAGCAGCACGGTCACTGGGACGTACGCCGGGCAGTGTGTGGTGCAGGTGGGGTGAAGCAGTGGCTCCAGGCAGTATGTGATGCAGGTGGGGTGAAGCAGTGGCTCAAGGCAGTATGTGATGCAGGTGGGGTGAAGCAGTGGCTCCAGGCAGTATGCGATGCAGGTGGGGTGAAGCAGTGGCTCCAGGCAGTATGTGATGCAGGTGGGGTGAAGCAGTGGCTCCAGGCAGTATGTGATGCAGGTGGGGTGAAGCAGTGGCTCCAGGCAGTATGTGATGCAGGTGGGGTGAAGCAGTGGCTCCAGGCAGTATGTGATGCAGGTGGGGTGAAGCAGTGGCTCCAGGCAGTATGTGATGCAGGTGGGGTGAAGCAGTGGCTCCAGGCAGTATGTGATGCAGGTGGGGTGAAGCAGTGGCTCCAGGCAGTATGTGGGGCAGGTGATTCGTGAAGCGCCTCAAAAAGTGCTGCTGGCGTCAGGCCAGAGCAGCACGGTCACTGGGACGTATGCCGGGCAATACGTGATGCAGGGGGAGTTTGGCATCTGGCAGGGAAGCACGTGGTGCAGGTTAGGGCATTATGTGGTGCAGGTTAGGGCATTATGTGGTGCAGGTTAGGGCAGTATGTGGTGCAGGTTAGGGCATTGTGTGGTGCAGGTTAGGGCAGTATGTGGTGCAGGTTAGGGCATTATGTGGTGCAGGTTAGGGCATTATGTGGTGCAGGTTAGGGCAGTATGTGGTGCAGGTTAGGGCATTATGTGGTGCAGGTTAGGGCATTATGTGGTGCAGGTGAAGGCAGCGGCTCTCTTACCTGCTCCTCCCTCTTCCCTCCTTTTCTCCTCCCCTTTCTCATCCCTTTCTCCTCCTTTCTTCTCCTCTCCACCATAACACAGCCTTTCTTTCCACTCCCCCACCCTCACTCCCCCTCTCCCATCCATCCTCGTTACAGGGCTTCATTGAGCTCCGTATAAGCACGTGGCTGCGCAACCTCATCACGCGCCTTATTGCCATTGTGCCGGCGCTGCTGGTGGCTCTTCTGTTCGGAGCCAATGGCGCCAGCCTTCTCATCATCCTCTGCTCGGTAAGATAACGGCGTGAAGTGATCAATAAGGGTTATGAGACGTGGTCACATAGCTTCAAGGGTCACGCGCCTTAGTGCCATCGTGCTGGCACCACTCGTGGCTCTCCTATTCGGAGCCAGTGGCGCCAGCCTTCTCATCATCCTCTGCTCGGTGAGAAAACAAGGCCTGAAAAGCAAGTGGGCAGCACTTGCACGGGTAACTGACAGCATTTTTTAGGCGCCTCAAGAATCTGCTCGGTAAGAGAACAAGGCCTTGAAGGCAAGTACGCAGCACTTGTATGGATGACTGACAGGACTTGTATGGATGACTGACAGGACTTGTATGGATGACTGACAGGACTTGTATGGATGACTGACAGGACTTGTATGGATGACTGACAGGACTTGTATGGATGACTGACAGGACTTGTATGGATGACTGACAGGACTTGTATGGATGACTGACAGGACTTGTATGGATGAATGACAGCACTTGTATGGATGAATGACAGCACTTGTATGGATGACTGACAGCACTTGTATGGATGACTGACAGCACTTGTATGGATGACTGACAGGACTTGTATGGATGACTGACAGGACTTGTATGGATGACTGACAGGACTTGTATGGATGACTGACAGGACTTGTATGGATGACTGACAGGACTTGTATGGATGACTGACAGGACTTGTATGGATGACTGACAGCACTTGTGTGGATGAATGACAGCACTTGTATGGATGACTGACAGCACTTGTATGGATGAATGACAGCACTTGTATGGATGAATGACAGCACTTGTATGGATGACTGACAGCACTTGTATGGATGAATGACAGCACTTGTATGGATGACTGACAGCACTTGTATGGATGAATGACAGCACTTGTATGGATGACTGACAGGACTTGTATGGATGACTGACAGGACTTGTATGGATGACTGACAGGACTTGTATGGATGACTGACAGGACTTGTATGGATGACTGACAGGACTTGTATGGATGACTGACAGGACTTGTATGGATGACTGACAGCACTTGTGTGGATGAATGACAGCACTTGTATGGATGAATGACAGCACTTGTATGGATGACTGACAGCACGTGGCTGCGCAACCTCATCACGCGCTTTATTGCCATCGTGCCGGCGGCGCTGATGGCTCTACGCTTCGGACCCACGGGGGCGAGCCTCCTCCTGCTCATCCTCTGCTCGGTAAAGGAAGGAGGCGCAGCGTGCAGTAAGAGCAGCAAATGCAGTAAGAGCAGCAAGTGCAGTAAGAGCAGCAAGTGCAGTAAGAGCAGCAAGTGCAGTAAGAGCAGCAAGTGCAGTAAGAGCAGCAAGTGCAGTGCTTGTAAGGGCTCGTGATCCGCTGGAACCCTTTGGCTTCTCTAACCCTTAGACCTCTCCATTTGCTTCCCTTCCTCACTTGTCTACCCACACTCAAGATTGTCACCTCAAAGCCCCCTTCCTCTGGCCTGCACTTCGCCCTCATTCCCCTGCTCAAGTTTTGGGACGTCTCAAAACCCCTCAAGCCCTCTTGCTTCTTCTCCTCACTGTTCTACCCACGCCCCAGATTGTGTCGTCCTTCGGCCTGCCCTTCGCCCTTATCCCACTCCTCAAGTTCACCAGCACCACTCTCAAAATGGGCATGTTCGCTACACACGCGTGGGTAAGTATTGCGTCCTTTTGAGGCGCCTCGAAAATCCCCATCGCCCCCATCCCCCCTGCTCAAGTTCACCCGCACCACTCTCAAAATGGGCACGTTCATTACCCATGCATGGGTGAGACTTTTCCCCCCACAGACCTCACCTTGCACTCCAATCCGCCATACCACTCTCAACCCCCTCCTCTCCCTCTATTCTTCCAACTCTTCTCTGTTCCACTTCTTTGCTCACTTACCCTCACTCTACCTCTCTCCCTCCCACTTCCAACACTAACCCATGTTCCCTTCCATTTTCCACAAAATGCCCTCTTGAACGCCACTACCAGACAACCGTTGCCGCCTCCATTGTGGGCACTCTCATCATCCTAGCAAACGCCTCTCTCATCATCTGGACCTGCATTGACTTGGCCCACCTCAATCCCTCCTCACCCCCCTCCACCGAGTCCAACCTCGTCCGAATCATCTTCACCGTTCTAGCATCCCTGCTACTCCTCCTCTACCTCATCACTCTCGCACTCCTCGCCCTCCGCCCCATATCAACTGCAACATACCAGCCCACAAAAGACGAGCTTGCCAAAGCTGCTGCAGTGGCCAAAGCACATGACTTAGCCATTGATACTTACACTAACGGAGGCCCAGGTGGAGATAGCAAAGGTGGTGATAGTCAAGGTGGGGAGCGACGAGATTTGGAAGCCGGTTGGGGAGGAGTCGGATCAGATGGAGTGCGGTTGGAAGGAGCAGCAGTAGCAGCAGCAGCAGCAGAATCAGCAGAATCGGAAGCTGCGGCAGCAGCGGCCGGAGCAGCAGCAGCCGAGGCGGCAGAAGCAGCAGCGGCGGCAGCAGCTGCCTCCGCTTTGGCCCGGAGTAGAGCTTCTATGACTGCTGGTTCCAATGTGGCCCCTGGTGCTTCTGGTGCCAGTGATGCTGCTGGCACTGCAGCTGCTTCGTTTTCTGCCTCGGAACCTAGTACATTGCAGTGAGTGCGGCCACTGAAGCTAGCCTCAACGACTGGTTGAAAGACGCAGAAACACGTCCTTGAATGGGGGAAATAATGAACACCGGTTAGCCCAGGAAGGAAAGCTTGGGTAGATTGAACTGTAGGAAGGGACTTTTGAGAGTTTCCCAAAAGAAGGAAGTGAGTGTGAGTGAAGGAGTGCGTATAAGGGTGTGTCTGGTTGAATGGGGGGTGTGCAGGTCGGATCAGAGCTTCACACTCGGTAGCAAATAAATTCTAGAAGTTGGATTGTGATGCAGCTGCTTGCTGCACATCCCAGCCCTCGCTCTAAGTATACGAGGTGACTTTTGAGTTTTTTTTTTTTTTTTTTTAATAGAATTCTCAAAAGACATTTGAGTCGACTCAAAAGTCTACCCTTGCCCATGAGGAAATTCTTGGTGTGTGGTAGAATATGGTGTGTTACCACATTAGAAAACAGCTAGTGGACAGCTGTCAAACTATGATAATGCTTGTGCTGTGTAGGCTGTAGTGGGGTAGCCCATAAGGGGTACAACCCAAATTAGGGTTAGCATATGTACCCACATCTCTGTTCAATGCACTCATTCTTGCTGCTAGATTCTAACATGGTTTCAGAGCACTAGGTCCGTAGGACCGTTTTTTTTTCGGGCCCACCTACCGTTGCGGTTACCACGCTACCCCACGTGCGCCTGCCTGCCTGCCTGCCTCGCCTTGTGACGAGCTGCGCTGCGCGCGCCGTCCTGCAGCCCTCACGCTGCCTACTGCTGCCCTAGGCCAGCGCGCCGTCCCTGCAGGCCCGTACGACCCGCGCGCCGCCCCTGCAGACTCGTCAGGCCCGTGCGCCGCCCCTGCAAGCCCGTCAGGCCCGCTAGCCGTCCCTGCAGGCCCGTCAAGCCCGCGAGCCGCCCCTGCAGGCCCGTCAGGCCCGCTAGCCGCCCCTGCAGGCCCGTCAGGCCCGCTAGCCGCCCATGCAGGCCCGTCAGGCCCGCTAGCCGCCCCTGCAGGCCCGTCAAGCCCGCTAGCCACCCCTGCAGGCCCGTCAGGCCAGCGAGCCGCCCCTGCAGGCCCGTCAGGCCAGGTCGCTGCCCCACACGACACGCCCGCTGCCCGCGCGTCGCAGTGCAGCCCCGCGGGTCGCGTTCGCTGCCCGCGCGTTGCGCTGCAGCCCTGCGCGTCGCGCCCGCTGCCTGCGCGTCGCGCTGCAGCCCCGCGCGTCGCGTTTGCTGCCCGCGTGTCGCGCTGCAGCCCCGCGCGCCGCGTATAGGGTTTAGCGCGTCGCGCTGCAGCCCCGCGCGCCGCGCCTGCAGCTCGCGCAGCGCGCTGCATCCTCGCGCGCCGCGGCTGCCCCTGGACGCCACCCCTGCCTGACTGTCACCGTCGCTCCTGCAGCAGCTGCCACGGAGCGCCCTACTACAGTCGCGGCCCTGCCCTGCAGCAGTTGCCACGGAGCCTCCTGCCGCCGTCGCGGCCCTGCCCTGCAGCAGCTGTCGCGGAGCCTTCTGCCGCAGTCGCGGCCCCACCCTGCAGCAGCTGCCGCGGAGCCTCCTGCCGCGGTCGCGGCCCCGCCCTGCAACTGTCACGGCCCCGCCCTGCAGCAGCTGTCGCGGACCTGCCCTACCGCCGACGCGGCCCTACTCTGCGGCCGCTGTTGCGGCCCCGCCGAGCGCCAGCCCTACCTGCCACTGGTGAGCACCTACCTTGTTCGTGCGCTGCCGCCTGCCTGCCTGTCTGCCTGCCTCCTGCCTGCCTGCCTGCCTGCCTGCCTGCCGCGCCTGCCCTGCATGCGCTGCTGCTGCTACTACTGCTATTGCTACTGCTACTGCTGCTACTGACAGAGGCCAGATGCAGCTCCAGCGACGTCCGCGTGAATCCCTCACGCCCCAGGAGCTTAGTGAGTGGTACGCTAGTTGGGGTTGTAGGGGTGGCCGGGCTGCTACTACTGCTACTGCTACTACTGCTGTTACTGCTACTACTGCTGCTACTACTACTACTACTGCTGCTACTGGCGGTGGCCAGATGCAGCTCCAGCGACGTCCGCGCGAGTCTCGCACGCCCCAGCAGCTTCGTGAGTGGTATGCTCACAGTAGAGGGTATCTGAGTACCGTTCGCTGCCCGTTCGTCATTCGCAAAGGTGCTCGGACTGGTCAGGCTTGCGGGACGCTCAGTCACACACAGTCCTGCTGCTTCGCCCGTCTGAGCGACGCCTGTCGTACCGAGTTTGGCGACGAGGCTGAGCTCCCTGATTGGGTGGAGCTGCTTGGGCAGAGAGTAGATATATTTGCTCTAGACTATGATGCTTTTCTCACTGCCATGTATGCATTGCCTACTAGTGCTAACCGTGCCTGTTACCTGTGCGTACCGCCTGACCCAGGTATAGAGCCTGCTGCTCTAGGTGCTGGTGAGGCTGCTGCTCTAAGGTCTAGTGTGTCTCATGCTCTAGGTACTGGTGAGGCTGCTGCTCCAGGTGCTGGTGAGTCTGCTCTCTGTGGTACTGCGCCTGCTGAGGCCTTGTACACCTTCACACTTGACTCTGGTGCTTCTCGCTCCTTCTTTCGCAACAGCACAGCCCTCACACCGCTCAGTCGACCGGTTCCAGTCTCCCTGGCAGACCCCTCTGGGGGTCCAGTCCGTGCGACCTCCTCCACTGTCCTCCCTTGTCCTGCTGTCCCGTCCGGCACACTGTCGGGTCTTTACCTCCCCTCGTTCTCTACGAACTTGGTGGCGGGTTCTACGTTCCAGGACGCGGGTGTTCACCAGTTCACCCCTGCCTACGAGCGTTTGAAACACTGCACGTGTGCTCAGACGGGTCGTCACCTGGCTACCTTTACTCGGCAGCCGGGGTCGAGCCTATACACACTGACCACTGAGTCCCCTCAGGTAGCTGAGTCTGCGTCTGCGTCAGGTCAGTTGTCGGCCCCCTACTCGTGTCACGCCTTGTCGCACCAGACCCTCCTTTGGCACCACCGCCTTGGTCACCCCTCGGTGTAGCGCCTTTGCAGCATGCACCGCCGTGTCCTTGTCTCTGGTCTCCCCAGGGCTCTCCCTCCCCTCCCACCCTCGCTTGCTCCTCCCTGTCTTCCCTGTGTCGAGGGGCGGCAGCGCGCCGCTCCTCACTCCTCCTCGTTCCCTCCCACAGAGGCTCCCCTGCAGATTCTCCACCTGGACGTGTGGGGCTCAGCCCGCGTCCGTGGACAGGGCCACGAGCGGGTACTTCCTGCTGGTCGTCGACGACTACACGCGTTACACCACGGTTTTCCCCCTGCGCACCAAGGGTGAGGTTCCTGATGTTTTGATCCCTTGGATCCGCGCTACTCGTCTCCAGCTCCGCGAGCGGTTCCAGTCGGACTTTCCCGTCCTGCGTCTGCACTCTTACAGAGGTGGTGAGTTTTCCTCCGACCTCTTGGCAGCCTTCTGTGAGGAGCACGGCATCACCCAGTCGTTCACGCTTCCGGCCTCTCCGCAGCAGAATGGGGTTGTTGAGCGCCGCATTGGCTTAGTCATGGAGGTCGCTCGTACCTCCATGATCCATGCACCTGCCCCCCATTTTCTTTGGTCGTTTGCGGTCCGGTACGCCGCGCATCAGCTCAACCTCTGGCCCCGTGTCTCCTTGCCGGAGACCTCGCCCACACTGCTGTGGACGGGGAAGGTTGGCGATGCGTCGCGTTTCCTAGTCTGGGGTGCTCGTGCCTTTGTCCGCGATACCACCGCGGACAAGCTCTCCGCCCGCGCTGTTCCCTGTGTCTTCCTTGGCTTTGTCCCTGACGCGCGTAGTTGGCTGTTTTACCACCCCACCTCGCGCCGTGTCTTCCCCTCTCAGGACGTCATGTTCGACGACTCGGTTTCCTTTTACCATCTCTTCCCCTACCGCACTGCCCCTCTCCCCCCCCCGCCGCTCTTCCTCGCTCCAGGTGCTCCCCAGGTAGACCCCCTCCCCACTCCCGGTCCTGCTCCTTCAGGTGTGTCTCAGGTAGACCCTCCTCTCTTGCCTGCGTCGGTTGAGGTCACTGGTGACTCAGGTCCTGCTGAGGGTGGTCCTGCTCGGGGTGCTGCTACTGGGGGTGCTGAGCCTTGGGGTGCGGAGCCTGGGGGTGCTGAGCCTAGGGGTGCTGAGCCTCGGAGTGCGGAGCCTGGAGGTGCGGAGCTTGGGGGTGCGGAGACTTGGGGTGCTGAGTCTGGACGTGAGGAGTCTGGGGGTGCTGAGCCTGGGGGTACTGAACCTAGGGGTGCTGCACCTGCGAGCGCTGAGGCGTCTGGTGAGCAGTCTCCCTGGGGCAGCGGTCTCCGTAGTTGCTCCGCTGGTACCTCGCCGGTGCACTCTCGTCGTCGACTCCCTCTCTCCCCACAGCAGCTGCGTGAGTGGTACGTTTGCCGTCAGGGTTGCGCTGCTGGAGCTAGGGGCCCTGCTGCGAGAGGCGCTGGAGCCGGTGACTCTGCTAGTGGAGTTGTTTCTGCTGGAGGTTCTGGAGCTGCTGAGGGTGCTGGAGCTGGAGGTTTTGGAGCTGATGCGGGTGCTGGTGCTTGAGGTTCTGGAGCTGGAGGTTCTGGAGCTGCTGAGGGAACTGGCGCTGGAGGTCCTGGAGCTGCTGCGGGTGCTGGCGCTGAGGGTTCTGAGTCTGCTGTTGCGCGGTCTCCTTGGAGTAGCCGCCTTCGTCAGCGTGTACCTCTCACCTCTCAGCAGCTGCACGACTGGTACGGTCGCCGTCAGGGTCGCGCTTCTGGAGCTCGACGCTCTGCCGTTGGAGGTACTTCTGCTGCCGTCACTGGAGCTGGGAGTGGTGCTAGTCCCGGAGGTGCTCGTACTTAAGGTACTGGAGCTGCTGGGGCTGGAGGTGCTCTGCTGGAGACCCTGGGTCTGAGGGTGCTGGTGCTGGTGACACTGAGGCTGGGGACCCTAGGACTGGAGGTGTTGGTTCTGAGGGTGCTGCTACTGGTGGAGCTGGTCCTGGAGGAGCTGGCGCTGAGGGGTGTGGTGCTGCTGGAGGTGCTGGAGCTGCTGGGGGTGCTGGAGCTGCTGGTGCTGGTGGCACTGCACAGCCGCGCCTGTTCTTTGCTCCACCGTCTCCGTCGTCTCAGCCACCGTCTGACTCTGTACTTCGCCAGGTTCTTAGTCTCCCTTCATCTACTGGTCTTTCGTTACAGCCTGGCTCACTACTGCGTGCTCCTTCTCCTTACACTGAGCAGTCAGGGGGTCTTACTGAGCGTCGTGAGCTTGCGTCACGTCCTGTCTCGACTGTCCGTTCTGGTCGTTTCGGTCGTCGTGTTCCTCGTTCGCGTCAGTCGGTTGTCCCCGGCACCCACCCCGTAGTTCGTCGTCCTTCCTCTCCTCCGCAGCGTGTTCCTCTGCCGTCCCCTCCTGTGTCTTCTCTGCCTACCGTTCCTGAGCCTCAGTCTGACTGCGTTCGTGCTGCTAGCCCTAGTGTCACACGTCTGCTAGCCACAGTTGTCACTGACCCGTCGTTTGAGTCTGCTGTTACGTCTGCCTTAGTCGCTGAGCTTGTTGACTTTGCTACTGCCTGTCGTCTAGACTACGCCGCTATTCTTGTTGCTGAGTCTGAGTCTGTCTGTCCTCCGTCCGTCGAGGGTGAGTGTGCTCTTGGCACGGACGTCCTTGAGGACAAGCAGGAGGACCTTGAGTGTCTTGCAGCCACTGCGCCTCATCTTGTGTCCATGCTGCTTGCCCCTGAGGGAGACCCGGATGCTCCAGACATCCCGACCCCGCGCTCTTACGCTGAGGCGATCGCGGGTGAGTACTCCTCTCAGTGGCAGACAGCCATGGACGCAGAGATGGCATCCTGGAAGTCCACAGGCACCTACGTCGACGAGGTTCCCCCTCCTGGGGCGAACATCGTTAGTGACATGTGGATTTTCGGGGTGAAGCCGCCGCCAGGTTCTCTGCCTGTCTTCAATGCTCGTTACGTTGCTCGAGGTTTCAGTCAGCGAGAGGGAGTTGAATTCTTCCAGACCTTCTCCCCCACCCCGAAGATGACCACTCTTCGGATGTTGCTGCACGTTGCTGCTCAACGTGACTACGAGCTTCACTCTCTTGAGTTCAACACAGCTTTCTTACAGGGCAGCCTGCACAAGGAGATCTGGCTGCACCGCCCTCCTGGCTTCACTGGGTCGTTCCCTCCTGATACCCAGTGGAGCCTCCGGCGGCCGGTCTACGGTCTCCGCCAGGCGCCACGTGAGTGGCACGACACACTGAGGACAACACTTGCGGCTCTTGGGTTCGCGCCTTCGATTGCTGACCCGTCGCAGTTTCTGCGCACCGACACTTCGCTGCCGCCGTTCTACATCCTTGTGTACGTCGACGACTTGGTCTTTGCCACTACAGACACTGAGGCTCTCGCCCTGGTGAAGTCGGAGCTGCAGAAGAGACACACGTGCACAGACCTGGGTGAGCTGCGCAGCTACCTTGGCTTGCAGATCACCCGGGACAGAGCACACCGCACCATTACCCTGACTCAGTCACACATGGTGCAGCAGGTCCTTCAGCGCTTCGGCTTCACCTGGTCCTTGCCACAGGCCACTCCTCTGGCTACAGGTCACTCGCTCTCAGCTCCACCTTCGGACGAGTCCGTAGAGCCGAGTGGTCCTTACCCAGAGCTAGTGGGCTGCCTCATGTACCTGATGACCTGCACTCGTCCTGACCTTGCGTACCCTCTTGGCCTTCTCGTTCGCTACGTGGCTCCTGGTAAGCACCGACCAGAGCACATGGCTCCTACTAAGAGGGTACTGCGCTACTTGTGCAGTACATTGGGCATGGGGCTCGTGCTTGAAGGGCGGAGCCCAGTTGTCCTCATTGGGCACTCGGACGCTTCTTGGGTTGACGACCTGGCTACTCAGCGGTCGTCACAAGGTTACACCTTTAGCCTTGGCTCTGGCTCTGTTTCTTGGCGGTCTACACGCTCGTCTTCTGTTCTCGGCTCCAGTTGTGAGGCTGAGATCTACGCCGCAGCCATGGCTGCACAGGAGTTACGATAGCTCACCTACCTGCTGACCGACCTGGGAGAGCGGCCTCGTTCTCCTCCTATGCTGTACGTCGACAACAACGCTGCCATTGCCTTGTGTGAGGAGCAGAGACTGGATCACAGAACAAAGCACATCGCTCTACGTTACTTCCTGGCTAGAGAGTTGCAGTAGCGTGGTCAGCTTCGTCTGCGTAACGTGGCCACTCAGGCCAACACTGCTGATATATTCACCAAGGCACTTCAGTTTGGTGATCATCAGGGTTTCTGCACTTTGCTAGGGCTTGTGCCCACTTTTCCTCAATTGCTGTAGGTTTTGCTTGTACTGTGATCTATATATATACACCTGCATGTTTGCACTGCTAGATAGAGATCACTGTGCTGTTTGTGTTGCATATATGCCTCTGCATGTTAACTGGCCTTGTGGCCCTTTGCCTGTGCTCAGAGTGTATAGTGACTTTGTGATCCACCCTGAGCTTGCTTTGCTTCTCTTGACTGGTCTTGTGACCCCTTGCTCTCCCCCACTTTGCCTATGGGGGTGTGTCAAACTATGATAATGCTTGTGCTGTGTAGGCTGTAGTGGGGTAGCCCATAAGGGGTACAAACCAAATTAGGGTTAGCATATGTACCCACATCTCTGTTCAATGCACTCATTCCTGCTGCTAGATTCTAACTGACAGCAACATTCGTTGATTTTTCTGGACCATTTCTAAGAGACTAAAACGTGCAATACACATGCCCAAATATGAAAACACGTGATTTATGAGCAGGATATACATACATGTAAATACAGTGTTCAAGTGGGGCATCAGACAGGAGACCTAATGGGTTTTGTGCGGTGGGAGGTGCTTCTGCTCCAGGCACACCTTCAGAGCCTCATAATTCTAAGAACACATGCTTTGAGTTGACTCAAAGCACATGCGCGGCACCACGCGCAGCAGACAGGGAGACAGGAGATCAAGTGGGTGGTAAGGTAGATGCTTTTCATGCAGTGACTCAAGCAGCAGGCAGGAGGTCAAGTAGCAGGCAGGAGGTTAGCAAGGAAAGGGGACGCGCTCCAGCAGCCATGCTCACATATCCGCCAGGCCCTCACAGCACATGGCAACTTTTGAGACGTCTAAAAGGCAGGTGGCGGGATGCCAAGCAGGTGGTGTTACTAGAGAGGGGCGAGCTTCAACAGCCATGCTCTCATATCCGCCAGCTCCTCACGGCTCATGGCGTGTGCAAGGCTGTAGGGCAAAAGGGAGAAAGAGAGAGACCGAATAGAATGTTGAGGATGGTCAAGAGAGGTCAAGCGGGTGGAGGGGCGAGCTCCAACAGCCATGCTCTCATATCTGCCAGCTCCTCATGGCTCATGGCATGGCCCATGCTGTAGGGCAACAGGGGAAACCCAAGGAATTCCGAGAGGTTGTTGAAGAGAAATACAGTGGGTGGTGGGATAATGCTCTAGAGTAGACTAAAAAACACATGTATATACATATATTAGTGAAAACGTTTTTGAAATGAGAATCACGTCAAGCCAGTAGAAATCAAGTGGAAGTGAAACCAGGGAGATCCCTTGTAAGACAGATCCCCGTATCCCTCATATGATACTTTCCCATACATCATGTCCCACCCACGCAGTAAGGTGAGGCTGGAGAAGCCAGGAGGGTATGGCGCCTGGCTTCTCCAACCTCACCTTTCCCATACATCATATCCCACGCAGTTACGCATTATCACTTAGGATATGAATTTTAAGGTGAGGCTGGAGAAGCCAGGAGGGTATGGGGCCTGGCTTGAGTTAACCATCATCCCCTAAACCAAACGTTTCATTCACAGTAGCAGAATCTTACTTGGGATACGTCTTGAAGGTGAGGTTGGAGAAGCCAGCATCGCGCAGCAGGTCAGAGCAGCCCTTGCCCCAGTCATACCCCACCAGGGGGTCAGCTGCACAGGCAAGCACATGTGAGAAATCCACGAGGGAAGGGCATTTTGAGGCGCCTCAAAAGCCCACTTATCTTGCTGCCTTTTGAGGCGCCTCAAAAGCCCACTTATCTTGCTGCCTTTTGAGGCGCCTCAAAATGCTCCTCACTACACGAGGGGGTCAGCTGCACATGCAAGCACATGCAAGCACATGCAAGCACATGCAAGCACATGCAAGCACATGCAAGCACATGCAAGCACATGCAAGCACATGCAAGCACATGCAAGCACATGCAAGCACATGCAAGCACATGCAAGCACATGCAAGCACATGCAAGCACATGCAAGCACATGCAAGCACATGCAAGCACATGCAAGCACATGCAAGCACATGCAAGCACATGCAAGCACATGCAAGCACATGCAAGCACATGCAAGCACATGCAAGCACATGCAAGCACATGCAAGCACATGCAAGCACATGCAAGCACATGCAAGCACATGCAAGCACATGCAAGCACATGCAAGCACATGCAAGCACATGCAAGCACATGCAAGCACATGCAAGCACATGCAAGCACATGCAAGCACATGCAAGCACATGCAAGCACATGCAAGCACATGCAAGCACATGCAAGCACATGCAAGCACATGCAAGCACATGCAAGCACATGCAAGCACATGCAAGCACATGCAAGCACATGCAAGCACATGCAAGCACATGCAAGCACATGCAAGCACATGCAAGCACATGCAAGCACATGCAAGCACATGCAAGCACATGCAAGCACATGCAAGCACATGCAAGCACATGCAAGCACATGCAAGCACATGCAAGCACATGCAAGCACATGCAAGCACATGCAAGCACATGCAAGCACATGCAAGCACATGCAAGCACATGCAAGCACATGCAAGCACATGCAAGCACATGCAAGCACATGCAAGCACATGCAAGCACATGCAAGCACATGCAAGCACATGCAAGCACATGCAAGCACATGCAAGCACATGCAAGCACATGCAAGCACATGCAAGCACATGCAAGCACATGCAAGCACATGCAAGCACATGCAAGCACATGCAAGCACATGCAAGCACATGCAAGCACATGCAAGCACATGCAAGCACATGCAAGCACATGCAAGCACATGCAAGCACATGCAAGCACATGCAAGCACATGCAAGCACATGCAAGCACATGCAAGCACATGCAAGCACATGCAAGCACATGCAAGCACAGGCAAGCACATGCAAGCACATGCAAGCACATGCAAGCACATGCAAGCACATGCAAGCACATGCAAGCACATGCAAGCACATGCAAGCACATGCAAGCACATGCAAGCACATGCAAGCACATGGAAGCACATGCAAGCACATGCAAGCACATGCAAGCACATGCAAGCACATGCAAGCACATGTGAGAAATCCACGAGAGAAGGGGGACACAGCACACAAGGCATTCAACTCAAGCTTCTCTCCAGCTCGTGTTACACAAGGCGCCTCAAGAAGCCAGCACTGTGCAGCATGTCAGAGCAGTCCCACCTGCCTCAGGCGTATCCTCCCCTTCCCACCAACACCATACCTTCCCCAAGCGCCATGAACAGAGGATGCCTTGCAGCCCTCTCTGCAACAGCTCCATCCGCCCCTCCAGGTCCCGGCACCAGACTGTGGCGGTAGGGGGTGGATAAGAGGGAGGAAAATGGTGAGGAAAGAAGGAGCCACGGAATCGTGCTTGAGTCGACTCAAAAGAAGCCCTCTCTGCAACAGCTCCATCCACCCCTCCAGGCCCCGGCACAGCACCTCGCCCCGGGCCCTGGAGCTCCATCCGCCCCTCCAAGCCCCGGCACCAGACTGTGAAGGGAGGAAATGTGGAACGACGGATTCATTGGTGAGAGAAGATAAAACCTTTCCCAGATTCCACGTGCAATTTGGCAAGCAGCCACTCAAAGCAGCGGGAGGCAGAGAGGGGTAAAGAAGAAATTACCTAACCTTTTCAAGGTCCTACCCCTTCAGATAACACCTTCACTAGACCCCACCTGCACTTGGGAAGCCACGTGCTGAGGCCAATAGAGGCAAAGAAAGGCTGAGAGGAAACGACCTGCTTTTTCCAGATCATACCCCTTCAGATAACACCTCCCCCAGACCCCACCTGCAGTTGGGCAGCCACGTGCTGAGGCCAATGGAGGCAGAGAAGGGCAGAGCGGAGGCATCGGAACCATCCGCGAAGCTTCCCAGCGCCTTCCGGCACATGAGGTAGAGGGAGAGGCCGCCCCCTTGAAAGGAGGGAGAGGAAGAAAAGGATCCGATTAAAGGCATCTCAATAAGAGGTACTAGTATGCGCCCCCTTGGCTGATTATACCCACAATATAGGTGGCGACTGGTGAGGCTGAGACAGAGGGGGACAGAAGAAACTGGGAGCATTTCAATGAAAGGTATCAGTAAGAAAGAAGAGGTTGGGGGAAGGAGTCCCCGCGCCACCTTGGATGATCGCACCCACTTATCTCGCTGCCTTTTGAGGCGCCTCAAAAGCCCAGCCCACTTATCTCGCTGCCTTTTGAGGCGCCTCAAAAGCCCACTTATCTCGCTGCCTTTTGAGGCGCCTCAAAAGCCCACTTATCTCGCTGCCTTTTGAGGCGCCTCAAAAGCCCACTTATCTCGCTGCCTTTTGAGGCGCCTCAAAAGCCCACTTATCTCGCTGCCTTTTGAGGCGCCTCAAAAGCCCACTTATCTCGCTGCCTTTTGAGGCGCCTCAAAAGCCCACTTATCTCGCTGCCTTTTGAGGCGCCTCAAAAGCCCACTTATCTCGCTGCCTTTTGAGGCGCCTCAAAAGCCCACTTATCTCGCTGCCTTTTGAGGCGCCTCAAAAGCCCACTTATCTCGCTGCCTTTTGAGGCGCCTCAAAAGCCCACTTATCTCGCTGCCTTTTGAGGCGCCTCAAAAGCCCACTTATCTCGCTGCCACATCAATGCCTTTCAGCCCTAGCCCTGTTGCTACTCTCCTAATCAGCACAGCACAGCACCGCACCGCACCGCACCGCATCGCACCCACCAGGATTCGCCTTCTTCTCCTCTTCAAGAATCCCAGCAATGTATCTGGCAGCCTCGTCAAGGCCCCTGGCATCTAACCCTCTTTGTGGTTTCTTATCAATACAACACAGCACAGCACAGCACAGCACTGAACCCCACCCACCAGGATTGGCCCTTCTCTCCTCCTCGAGAATCCCAGCAATGTATCTGGCAGCCTTGTCAAGGCCCCTGGCATCCACGGGAGCCTCGGCGTTGAAACCATCAGTATTGAAGCTGCAGACGGAGACGGAGACGGAGGGGGGCATGGAGGGGGGCATGGAGGGGGGTATGGATGGGGGCATGGAGGGGGGCATGGATGGGGGCATGGATGGGGGCATGGAGGGGGGCATGGATGGGGGCATGGAGGGGGGCATGGATGGGGGCATGGAGGGGGGCATGGAGGGGGGTATGGAGGGGGGCATGAAGGGGGGCATGGAGGGGGTCATGGAGGGGGGCATGGAGGGGGGCATGGAGGGGGGCATGGAGGGGGGCATGGAGGGGGGCATGGAGGGGGGCATGGAGGGGGGCACGGGAGCATCGGCGTTGAAACCATGGAAACCAGGCGAGGAGGAGAGAAGGGCATGAACAGACAAGGGGATGTCGGTTTGGGCAAATCAAGTCATCAATGGGAGCATCGACGCTGAAACCATGGACGTCGTACCCTGGATAGGGGGGAATGGATGAGAGTTGGATGAGGGATGGATGAGGGATGGACGAGGGATGGATGACAGACAGAGGGGGGAGGATTGGCATGCGCAAAGGAGGGGGGAGGCACGCAGGAAGTGAGTAGGCAGATTGTGAGAATTCTCAAAAGTCATCAACGGGAACGCCGGCGTTGCAGCTAAAAACGTTGTACCCTGAGGGATGGATGAGGGGTGGATGACGGATGGATGAGGGGTGGATGAGGGGTGGAGAGGCATAGATGGGAGAAAAAGAACTGGGCAGGTGGGTAGGCGGCTATAGACTATAAGAAGACACCTCTGATGTGACTGGCAGCGTCTTGTGCTGGTTTTTGAGAATTCTCAAGAACTGGGCAGGTGGGTAGGCGACTATAAGAAGACACCTCTGATCTGACAGCGTTTTTTGCTGAGTACACGGTTCCCACAAAGGGGATGTGAGTCACTCACAAAAATGGGGCATGGCGTACTCACAAGGAGGGGGCATGAGAGCACGGTGTACACAAAGGACTCACAGGAACAGGAGCAATGGCCAAAGGACTCACAGGTTTGCTGCTCGCTGAGAATGTCACAAAACCTGAGAGCACGGTGTACACAAAGGACTCACAGGAACGGGAGCGATGGCCAAGGTTGACAGAGACAGGGGCTTCAAGGGCGGTGGGGAATATCCACTTGACCTGCCAGGAGGTAATGCAGGGCGGAGATGAGGCGGGGCGAGGCGAGATGGTACAAATGTTCGAGCATCTCAGACAGGGGCTCTAAGGGCGGTGGGGAATATCCACTAGGGGCGGTGGGGAATATCCACTAGGGGCGGTGGGGAATATCCACTAGGGGCGGTGGTGGGGAATATCCACTAGGGGCGGTGGGGAATATCCACTAGGGGCGGTGGGGAATATCCACTAGGGGCGGTGGGGAATATCCACTAGGGGCGGTGGGGAATATCCACTAGGGGCGGTGGTGGGGAATATCCACTAGGGGCGGTGGGGAATATCCACTAGGGGCGGTGGGGAATATCCACTAGGGGCGGTGGGGAATATCCACTAGGGGCGGTGGGGAATATCCACTAGGGGCGGTGGGGAATATCCACTAGGGGCGGTGGGGAATATCCACTAGGGGCGGTGGGGAATATCCACTAGGGGCGGTGGGGAATATCCACTAGGGGCGGTGGGGAATATCCACATGACCTGCCACGAGGCAATGCAGGGTGGAGATGAGGCGAGGTGAGGTGAGGGGCGCTACAGATGGGTCTGAGGCGCCTTAAAGAGTCAGCTGTGGGTGCACCGGGGTATATCCACTTGACCTGCCAGCCACAAGGCAACGTGGGTGGGGTGGAGTCTGGAGATGAGGAGAGGCAACGTGAACCATGGATAAGTGGAGGACTCTGAGGCGCCTCAAAAGATATTCTCCAGCGCCAAGGGCGCTGGGGGATATCCACTTGACCTGCAGCAAGGCAATGTGGGGCGAAGAGGAGGGAAGGGGACATGGTTGGGTTTTTATAGGCGCCCACACATCGTTTATAGGGGTGGGGGGAAGTGTCCACTTGACCGGCCACAGCAAGCATCAAAGTCTGTGCAACGCAACAGAAGGTTGATCGTACGTGTGGGAGGTCAGGCAAATAGCCGTCGCCCTCAGTACTCCACACGCCATTCAGCCAGTCCGAGATGCCATAGCCGCTGTCCCCCAGCCCATGAGGCAGTCAATGCAGGCACTCAAAATCGCTGTCGACTCCACACACAGTTGCTCAACGTACGTGTGGGAGGTCGAGTAAATAGCCGTCGCTCTCAGTACCCCACACCCCATTCAGCCAATCCGGGATGCCATCGCCGCTATCCCCCAGCCCGTGCAGCCACACCACAGTGGCCGTGTGCCGCCCTTCCTGCGCTTCCACCACTTTAGTAGTCCTGCCAGCTGGTGTGCCTGGGGGCGAGGGAAGGCGGAGAGCGCGGGGGGCAAGCGGCATTTGGGTCAACTGAATAGCCATGCAGCCACACCACAGTGGCCGTGTGCTGCCTTGCCTGCGCCGGTAACACTTGGGTCCTCCTGGCTGGTGTGCCTGGAAGCGAGAGAAGGCGGGGATGGAAGCATGGCAAGCATGAAATCATTTCTCATGGCGACTAAAAATCGGCCAGTGGCGGCATTGCAAGTAGCAGCAGGATCAGAAGAAACGTGGGAGTCACAGAGGTGAAGCGAGCGGGGAAGAAAGCAGCGGGAGCTTGATGGTGATTGATGATAAAAGATTGCTGGTGATTAATGAAAGCACGGAGTGGTGGTTGGCCATTGGTAGGCCAGTCCTTACTCAACAGCAATGCATCCGCTGCTAGAAATGCTTCTAATGCTGCTGCTGCCGCTGCTGCTTCTGCTTCTGCTTCTGCTTCTGCTCCTGCCTCTGCTCCTCCTTGTGCTTGTGCTTCTGCTCTTACCTGTGCTTGTGCTTCTGCTCTCGCTCCTGCTAAATTTGCTGCTGCTGCTAGTTCCGCCGTCCCTACAGAAACTCGCTCCTCTGCGGGTGCGGGTGCCGGACTGGAAAAATCCTCTCCGCGATCCTTGCGCTCACATTCCGCTACTGACAGAACTCGCTCCGCTGCGGCTGCGGGTGCCGGACTGGAAAAGTCCTCTCCGCGATCCTTGCGGACGGAGAACATTCTGCGGAAGAAATGATTGAATCGCTTCGGGAGAGTATCTCGGACGGACATTGCTATGGTTTATTGGAATGACGCTCGCAAGGGGCCAGTGGATAAATACGAGGAGGAGGAAAACTAGGGAAAGATGCTGTAGTGTTTCGGCAAACCACGGAAGAATTCTATCCGCCGTCATGGCGGAACGAAGCTAGATGCGGCGTGGAAATTGGGGTAAGGAAGGAAAGAGTGTGAGCCACGGGAGCAGAAAAGTAGGGGAATCCTAGAAAGTAGGGAGTCTGAGAGAACTCGGACCAAGACCTGAGGGCTAGTTCGTTATCAGTTCAAAAATCACCGTTCAGAATGGTGAGAGGCGGTTCAAAGCGGTGAAGCCGAAAAACCGGTCTAGAACGCACGGCATCGTTTTCCAACGCTAACACTGAACCAAAAGAGAACGACGTCCGATCCACCTAGATCCTGCCACTGGCTCTTGATTAGCTACGACAATATTCTGCGACAGTGACGATGATGTGCGATGACAAGCACGCTGGTCCGAGTGGTCTTGCTTGGTCCATGTTTGGTCCGAGGCTGACTCAAGCCTGGCTCCGCGAGGCTGGTCTGTGGCATGGTACCCGAACCTATTTCTGGTCCGGTCACGGAGGTTGCTTGGGTGTACAGCGCATAGGATTTGAAATGTCAGGGGATTGGCCTTGCGAATTTTGCGATGCTGGTTTCCACCTTGCGAGGTGGATTTCCATCTTTACTAACGGTGGAGCTCGGTGTGTTGAATAAAAATAGAAGAAACAGTACAGGGCACTACATCCTTCAGTGGTCTGTGCTTCTGCCTTCCGAACATGATATAAACATTTAGTAGAGCGTTCAACTTGGGCATCGGAGAGGAGATCTAATGGGTTGTGTGCGATGGGGAGGTGCTTCTGCTCCAAGCGCGCCTTAAAAAATCTCCCAAATGCCTTCCTGTCAGAAAAACATAACCCGCGATCCTCGAAGGAATGTGAGCGGCACAATGCACAGCAGACAGGGAGGCAGCAGATGAAGAGAGAGGTGGCAGCTGCTTATCTCGAGGGGAAAAGTCGATTAGAAGAGGGGAAGAGCTGGTAGGAGGGACGTGCTTTGCTTGAATCGACTCAATTAGCAGGCAGAAGTCCAAGTGGGTGGTGTTAGTAAATGCTTCCCCATGAAAACGGGTGAAGCAGCAGGCAGGCAGCAGGTCACGCGGGAAGAGGGGCGTGCTGCAGCAGCCACGCTCTCATATCCGCCAGCTCGTTTTGAGGCGCCTCAAAACTAGCCTCAAAGGATCCGGCGGAAGGTCAAGCAGCAGGCAGGAGGTCACGCAGGAGGAGGGGCGTGCTCCAGCAGCCACGCTCTCATATCCACCAGCTCCTCGCCGCACGTGGGTGGAGGAAGGTGCCTTGCTTGAGACGGCTCAAGCAGCAAGCAAGAGGTCAGGCAGGAGGCGCAGCGGGGAGAGGGGCGTGCTGCAGCAGCCACGCTCTCATATCCGCCAGCTCCTCACCACACATGGCGTGTGCCAGGCTGTAGCGCAACGGGGGGAAATCAAGATGTGTTTTTGAGACATACTGTGTCTGGGGTCCAATCGGACATATCCGCCAGCTCCTCACCGCACATGGCGTGTGCCAGGCTGTAGTTCAGCAGGGGAGAGAGAGGGAGACCGAACAGAATTTTGAGGATAGTCACGAGAGGTCACGCGGGAGGAGGGACATACCCCAGCAGCCACGCTCTCATATCCGCCAGCTAAGTGACCACGTGTGACCACGTGTGACCACGTGTGACCACGTGTGACCAAGTGTGACCAAGTGTGACCAAGTGTGACCAAGTGTGACCACGTGTGACCAAGTGTGACCAAGTGTGACCAAGTGTGACCACGTGTGACCATGTGTGACCAAGTGTGACCACGTGTGACCCTCTGCCACTACTACAGCAGCACCTGCCGCAGCCGCTGCACGTGCTACAGCCACTATGACAGCAGCTGCTACCAGGCGCAGCCGCTACAGCCGCTACAATCGCGACTACTGCCCCTGCTACAGCCGCTGCTGCCGCCACTGCTGCTACAGCCTCGCCGCACATGGCATGTGCCAGGCTGTAGGGGAATGGGGAAGGCACCAAAAAGTGTTGTTGAGACATACTGTGTCTGGGGTTCAATCGGACATATCCGCCAGCCAGCTCCTCACCGCTCATGGCGTGTGCCAGGCTGTAGGGCAATGGGGGACACCGAGAAGTGTTTTTGAGACATACTGTAACTGGGGTTGTGTTTTGAGTCGACTCAAAACGAGACATACTGTAACTGGGGTTCAACTGGCCAATTCCGCCAGCCCCTCACGGCACATGGCGTGCGCCCGTCCGTAGGGTAACAGGGGAAATCTAAAGAAGTTGTTATCAAAAACCTCTAAACAAAAAGTTTAGCTAGTGGTGGGATAACAATTCTTCTGTCGACTGATGAGATTGCTGCCTGGCTTGACTTAACCATCATCCCCTAAACCAAACGTTTCATTTACAGCAACAGAGCCTTACTGGGGATACGAGTTGAAGGTGAGGTTGGAGAAGGCAGGAGGGTATGGTATATGGTGCTTGGTTTGCCTGTGTGGATACTCAGTAACAGAATCTTACAGGGGATACGAGTTGAAGGTGAGGTTGGAGAAGCCAGCATTGCGCAGCAGGTCAGAGCTGGCCCTGCCCAAGGCGTAGCCAATGAGGGGGTCAACTGCACTCGCACACGCACACGCACTCGCACACGCACACGCACACGCACACGCACTCGCACACGCACTCGCACACGCACTCGCACACGCACTCGCACTCGCACACGCACTCGCACTCGCACTCGCACACGCACACGCACACGCACACGCACTCGCACACGCACACGCACTCGCACACGCACACGCACTCGCACACGCACACGTACGAAATGGAGCCAGCACAGGGAGCAGGTCAGAGCAGGTCAGAGCAGGTCAGAGCAGGTCAGAGCAGGTCAGAGCAGTCCCTGCCCCAGGCGTAGCTCACGAGGGGGACAACTGCACACGCACACGAAAGAAGTCAACGAGATGATTATATGGTCCACTCAAAATTCACCTTGTGAGTCAACAGTCAATGCAAAAGTCATCTCGTAGTCCTTGCCCCAGCCAAGTCACAAAAGGCGGCACAAAAGCTAGTAGCACACAATAGAAGGGAAATTGTCCAACCACCCATCCGTCCTATTTACTCAGGCGATGGCTTGGAAGGGATGTTCCTAAAGCGCATGCCACCTTCCCTTCCCTTCCCCTCCCCTCCATACAGTACCTTCCCCATGCATCATTAGCAGCGGATGCTTGGCATCCCTCCCTGCAGAAACTGTTTTCTTTGATCGATTATAGAATGTCCCCATAACTCACATGTCACCCTCCACTCCCGCACAGTCCATGTGTCATGAACAGAGGATGCCTCGCAGTGAATTTTGAGTCTACTCAAAAGTCCCGCACAGTCCATGTGTCTTGAACAGAGGATGCCTCGCAGAGACTTTTGAGTCCACTCAAAAGTCCCGCACAGTCCATGTGTCTTGAACAGAGGATGCCTCGCAGCCCTCTCTGCAACAGCTGTGATTAAGTTAATTAAAGCTAATGCCACCCTTTCCTCCTTCCTCCCCCCCCCCCCCAACCGTACCTTCCCCGTGTGCCATGAATACAGGATGCCTCGCAGCTCTCTCTGCAACAGCTGCATCCGTTTCTCCAGGTGCCGGAATCAGACTGTGGACGTGGGGGAGGTATACGAGAGGAAAGGGGGAGGTATAGGAGAGGAAAGGGGGAGGAATAGGAGATGAAAGGACGAGGAAAGGGGGAACCGTGGACTCATCTTTGAGTCGACTCGCAAGGCAGTCCTCTCAGCATCAGCAGCTCTCGTTCTCCCAGGTCCCGGAGTCACTTTTGAAGCGCCTCAAAAGCCCCCCGGTCCTGGAATAAGACAGTGAAGGGAGGAAAGTGGGAACCATGGACTCATCATCGGTGGGTGGGACAAGATAACACCTTCCTTCCACCTGCACTGGGGCAGGCAGCCTCTCAAAGCAGCGGAGGGAAAAGAGGCAAAGAAGAAAATACCTAACCTTTGCAGATCCTACCCCTCCAAACAACACCTTCCCCATAACCCACCTGCAGTTGGGCAGCCACGTGCTGAGGCCAATGGATGCAATGAAAGGCAGATATGAAACTACCTATCCTTCAAAAAACACCTTCCCCAGATCCCACCTGCAGTTGGGCAGCCACGTGCTGAGGCCAATGGATGCAATGAAAGGCAGATAAGAAACTACCTATCCTTCAGAAAACACCTTCCCCAGATCCCACCTGCAGTTGGGCAGCCACGTGCTGAGGCCAATGGAGGCAATCAAAGGCAGATAAGAAACTACCTATCCTTCAGAAAACACCTTCCCCAGATCCCACCTGCAGTTGGGCAGCCACGTGCTGAGGCCAACGGAGGCAATGAAGGGCAGAGTGGAGGCATCGGAACCATTCGCGAAGCTTCCCAGCGCCTTCCGGCACATGAGGTAGAGGGAGAGTCTGCCCCCTTGGCTGATACCCCCCACTATATACGTGACGTCTGGTGGGTGCGGGGAAGAGGGGGAAGAGGAAAAGAATAAAATCGGTTAAGGTGAGTGAGGGAGAGAGAGCTCCCTTGGCTGATCCCCCCCACTATATATGTGACGTCCGGTGGGTGAAGGGAAGAGGGCAGGAGGGAAAAATAGAAGAAAGGGTTCAATATAAGGTGACTCAATAAAAGAGAGGACGAGCGCTCCCTTGACTGATCCCACCCACTGTATTGTATACGTGACAACTGGTAAGGCCAAGAGGGAGGGAGAAAGAAGGATTCGATTAAAGTCACCTCAATAAGAAGTATTAGTATGTGTTCCCACAGCTGTTCCCACCCACTGTATACAATAATAAATTGGGGCCACTTCAATAAAAGCTACCAGGAAAATGGAAGGGATAGGGAGGAAAGAGCACCCGCACCCCCCCGGCTGATCCGACCCACTTATCTTGCAGCCGCATCAATGCTTTTCACACCCCTAACCTTGTTGCTACTCACCCAATCAGTCAATGCTTTTCACACCCCTAACCTTGTTGCTACTCACCCAATCAGTCAATGCTTTTCACACCCCTAACCTTGTTGCTACTCACCCAATCAGTCAATGCTTTTCACACCCCTAACCTTGTTGCTACTCACCCAATCAGTCAATGCTTTTCACACCCCTAACCTTGTTGCTACTCACCCAATCAGCACAGCACAGCACCCCACCCACAAATATGCGCACTTCTCTCGTCCTGGAGAACCCCAGCAATGTATCTGGCAGCCTCATCAAGGCCCCTGGCATCCAGCCCTCTTGGTAGCCCCTTAAACAGCACAGCACAGCACAGCACAGGACTAAACCCATCCACCCACCCACCCACCAGGATGCGCCCTTCTCTCCTCCTGGAGAATCCCAGCAATGTATCTGGCAGCCTCGTCAAGGCCCGCGGCATCCACGGGAGCATCGGCGTTGAAAGCATGGATGTCGTACCCTGGATGGGGGGGAGGAGAGAAGGGCATGTACCATGAGGGATGGATGAGGGGGATGAGAGATGGATGAGGGGGATGAGGGGCATAGATGGGAGAAGAAGAACTGGGCAGGTAGCGACTATAATACGACACATCTGATCTGACGGCGTTTTGTGCTGGAAGGGAGCGCGGCTCACACGAAGGGCACATGAGTCACTCACTCACAGAAAGGGGACATGAGGCGCTCACAGGAAGGGACATGAGGGGCTCACACGAAGGTGCATGAGAGGCTCACAGGAAGGGGCGCGATGGCCGCGCCGCGGTTGACGGAGACAAGGGCCGATGATAAAGACATCTAAGAAAATGAGCTCAAAGAAAGGCCACCTGAGTAACTCACACGAAGGGCACGTGAGGGACTCACAGAAAGGGCACGTGAGGGACTCACAGGAAGGGCACGCGAGGGACTCACAGGAAGGGCACGCGAGGGACTCACAGGAAGGGCACGTGAGGGACTCACAGGAAGGGCACGCGAGGGACTCACAGGAAGGGCACGCGAGGGACTCACAGGAAGGGCACGTGAGGGACTCACAGGAAGGGCACGTGAGGGACTCACAGGAACGGGAGCGATGGCCGCGGTTGACAGAGACGGGAGCTGTAGGGGCGCTGGGGAATATCCACTTGACCTGCCACATGGGAATGAGGGAGGGGATGAGGCGAGGTGAGGTGCGTTACAGATGGGTCTCAGGCGCTTAGAATGTCGGCTGTAGGGGCGCTGGGGAATATCCACCTGCCACATGGGAATGTGGTGAGTGTGGGGAGGAGATGAGGTGAGGAGAGAATGGCGAGGTGAGGTGAGGCGAGGTGAGGTGAGGCCAGGTGAGGCCAGGTGAGGTGAGGCCAGGTGAACCATGGATCTGAAGCGCTCGGAAAATCGTTGCTACAGGCGCTGGGAAACGAAACGTCCAGTCCAATGCGCACGGAGAAGCCTCCGTTGTTGGGTGATCATGGAAGTCTCAAAATTCACAGAATTTCCAAAATTCACAGAATCCACAAAATCAACCTACAACACAGGGAGGTCGCATAAAAAGCCCCCCTTCTCAGGTACTCCCCCCACCCAACCCCATCAGCCACCCCAGGCAACCATTGCAAGCACCCATCGCCTGTGTCGACTCGACAGCCAGTTGCACATACAGGAGGGAGGTCTAGTTTAAATATGCCACTCACTCACTCTTTTTTCTAAGCCACTCACTATTTTTTCTATGCCACTCACTCTTTTTTCGAACAGCAACAGACACACGTAGCCGCCGTATAGGATCGGTGGCTGGGTGTCAACCGACTAAAAGTTTTACGCACTCTCACGCCAGCTCTCAGTATTCCACACGCCATCTCACCGCAACCCACCCCACCCCACCCCATCCCACCCCACTTCATGCAGCCAATGCAAGCACCCATAACCGTACGTGTGGGAGGTCGAGTAGATGGTTGCCGCCTTGTTCACCCACAGATTCCCACACCATATTCAGCCAGTTCGAGATGCCATTGCCGCTGTCCCCCAGCCCGTGCAGCCACACCACCGTGGCCGAGTGCTGCCCTTCCAGCGCTTCCACCACTTTGGTCGGGCCCGCTCGTGTGCCTGGGGGGAAGTGGAGCGCGAAGGGAAGTGGGCAATCAAGTTCACTCAAACGTTCATCACCCACACTAACCACAGTGCAGTGCATGGGGTACAGCGAGTGGGGACCTGCGCCTGGCAGTGCATGGGGGACCTGGGTGAAGTGGGGAGTAAACAATGGTCTGTGGCTTCATGTAAAATAGTTAGCAGGATCAGAAGAATGGTGGGAACGGCAGGGGTACAGCAGTGGGGGGAGAAGGCAGTGAAAAGCTTGCTGGGATAAGTATGGTGATTGGTACGTGGTGGTCGGGTATTGGCGGAGCAGTCCTTACTGTATGGTGATTGATCCGTTGCTGATGCTGCTCCTGCTCCTGCTCCTGCTGCTGCTGCTGCTGCTGCTGCTGCTGCTTCCGCTGCTGCTTCCGCTTCTGCTTCCGCTCCTGCATGTTTTGCCGCTGCTGCTGGTTCTGTCGTTCCTACAGGAGCTCGGCCCTCTGCGGGTGCGGGACTGGAAGTCATCTCGCCACGATCGTTGCGAGTGCCGAACATCCTCCGGATTAGGTTACCGAACCTCTTCGGGAGAGCATTTCGGAGAGACATTACTATGGTTTATGGGAACGATACGCAAGCGGCCAGTAGATGATAGATAAGAGAACGAGGAAGACTTGGGGAAAATGTTGGAATGTTTCGGCAAACCACGAAAGGATTTTATCCCTCGTCATGGCGGAACCTAGGGAGAACTGGCGTGGAAATTGGGGTAAACGAAGATAAGTTGAAATGGCAGCGAGAAGAGTAGAAGACAAGCAAGGGAACTCTGGGAAGCGGAGTCGTCTGGGATCTGGAAACTCGGACCAGGATCTGATCCAGCCACCGACTCTTCTGAATGGTCGCGAACACATTTCGATATTTCGCAAGCACGCTCTTTCCATCACGATTAGTTGCGACATCATTTTGCGACGAAGACGATGATGTGCGATCACGAATAGGCTGGTCAGTGTGGTCCGCCTGGGTCCATGCCTGGTCTAAGGCTGTTACAAGCCTGGGTCCACGAGGCTGGTCCGTGGCTTGGTTCTCAAGCCTATTTCCAGGCCAGGCAGGTATGTTGGTTGGCTTGGCTTGGGTGGTGCTAAGGGCGTATCCCTGTCTGGTGGCAGGGCCACTGTAGCTGGCAAGGTTGGTGGCAACTTTCCCAAAAACACAGGGGCCCGGAAAATGCGCATGCCACCAACAGTGCCAGCTACAGTTGCCCTGCCACCACTCAGGGATACGCCAGGTGAGAGACGTAAGGGTTTGAAATTCCGAGAAGAGATTGACCTCACGAGGCTGGTCCCCGCCTAGCGAGGTGGACGGGGTTCTTCGATTTGGGTGCGTTGAAGAGTTGGGTGCTGATTCGATAAAAAAGGAGAGAAAGCAATTCACATCCTTCAGTGATTTGCAGAATTTGATAGCTTACTGGCAATATATACTTTTGCTCCTCTTACAAGGGTCACACAACTGCAAATGGGTCATGGACACCTTGACATGCAATGTTGCAGGTGGAGAATCAAGAAGGTGGTGGCACGTTCTTCTGCAGCCATGCTTTGAGATCTGCCAGTTCTTCAGGACAAGCAGAGTGGGCCATGCTGTGGGGTGGGGGGAGGGGGTGGGGGGAGGTAGAAACAGGACTGGTCATAATAGCACAAGATGACCTTGTATGGACGCATGTGACAGCCCATGAGAGACTTCGTGTGCCAATATGTAGGCACAAGCTGTGATAAAGAGCTGCGGAGTAGGTAAGGTGACCCGAAGGATACCGTATCTGCAGCTGGCGGTGAACCGTGTGAACTACCGTGTGTATAATTTTTTCAAAACAAGCTGAAGTCACACGGGGCAAGGAAAAATGCACCCTTTTCCAAGCGGACCCCCTCCCATGACAGACAACGACCCACCCACGGTACGGCTTGAAGGTCAGGTTGGAGAACAACGCCCTTCCTGCAGCACCTGAGATTGACGCGCCTCAAAACTAGTGTCCAAGGGAACCCCCTCCCATTTTCATAACAAGCAATCACCCACCCGCGGTATGACTTGAAGGTCAGGCTCGAGAACCCTGCTTCCTGCAGCACCTGCGCCGACCCCTTGCCAAAGGCGAATGGCACCAGGCTGTCAGCTGCATGGGGAGGGATGTACGGGAGGGCATGAGCACATGTGGTATGGGGGATGAAGGGGGGAAACAAGTCAGGAATCGATGATGGACCCACATGCACCTTCCTGCAGCACTTGAGCCGATTCGTACCGAAGGCAAAAGGCACCAGGCTGTCCATTGCACAAGCGAAAGTATTGCCTATACCATACGAGCGAGCAACAATGCAGCAAACGGCACCTTGGCATTGGTGTGCGTGTGGGACAAAATGGTAACGCTGCAAGCACTGCGTCCGAGCCATTGGCATTCCGGATTCCCCCCTTTCCCCTTCTCGACCCAACCCCTCCCCATCCCCCCTGTATCCCCCACCCCCTCCCCATCCCCCCTTTTCTCTCACCCTGTGCGTAGCTTCTGCATATCCACGATCCATCCAAACTTCACTTCAACATGCACAGATCAACCAAAGCCAACCTCCCCCATGCGCGATGCCCCAAGCCTACCTTCTCCATGAGCCATGAGCAAAGGGTGGGCCGCAGCTTTCTCTCCCACTGACGCATCCCCCACTGCTGCGCTGCCTCCGGGCTTCAGACTGCTTGCCATAAGAGGGGGAAGGAGGGAAAAGGGAAGCGAGATGGGAAGGGGGATGGGAAGGGGGATGGTAAGGGGGATGGGAAGGGGGATGGGAAGGTGGATGGGAAGGTGGATGGGAAGGTGGACGGGAAGGTGGATGGGAAGGTGGATGGGAAAGGGGGTAGTTCGATCACGAGTTTCAAAGCTGGTAGCAGCAGCAATAATAGCCCTACTCCAAAGTTAACCTTTTTCTAAGAGGGAACAGAGACGGAAAGGCAGCAGACAGACCAATCCCATCCCCTCCCCTATCCCACCTTTCCCAACTCCCGCCTGCACTTAAGCAGACTATCTCACCCTTCCCCACGCCCCACCTTCCCCATACCCAACTTCCCATGAGCAAATCTCACCCCGTCAGATTACACTAGAACCTCCCCAGGGTCCACCTTTCACATCCACCTGCGCTTGGGCAGCCAGCCGCTGAAGGCAACAGAGGCGTGGAGCGGCACAGACAAGGCTCCCACATCTCCCAAGCCCTCCACCCTTCCCAAGCCCTCCACCCTTCCCAAGCCCTCCACCCTTCCCAAGCCCTCCACCCTTCCCAAGCCCTCCACCCACCCTTCCCAAGCCCTCCACCCACCCTTCCCAAGCCCTCCACCCACCCTTCCCAAGCCCTCCACCCACCCTTCCCAAGCCCTACACCCACCCTTCCCAAGCCCTCCACCCACCCTTCCCAAGCCCTCCACCCTGCCCAAGCCCTCCACCCTGCCCAAGCCCTCCACCCTGCCCAAGCCCTCCACCCTGCCCAAGCCCTCCACCCTGCCCAAGCCCTCCACCCTGCCCAAGCCCTCCACCCTTCCAAAGCCCGTTCTTGCCCCAGATACTCCCACCTTGGACATACCCCACCCCACCTTTCGCATACCCCACCCACCTGCACTTGGGCAGCCAGCCACTGAAGGCAACAGAGGCGTGGAGCGGCACAGCCGAGGCATCGGAACCATCCTCAAACTTTCCCAGAACCTTCCGGGACATGAGGTACAGTGAGAGAGCGCCCCCTTGACTGAACCCACCCACTGCAAACTTGACATCTGGTGAGGGCGGGAGGGCAGGGAACAAAATGGTTGGGTTTGAAGGGCCCGCCTCTCCTACAGATCTTCAATCACACGTACCAACCACAGCCGCATTGATTCCCTAGGCACCTAATTCTTTACGTTGTCAATCTATCAGCACCGCACTGCACCCACCTGGGTTGGCTCGCTTCTCCTCCTCCAGAATCCCAGCCACATATCTGGCAGCAGCATCGATGCCCTTCACGTCGTCCCGTGCACTTGCGTCCAGCCCGAACAGGTCGAACCCTGGTGGGGTGGGATGAGCGTGGTGTGACGCATGAGGGGAGACGAGGCGAGATGAGATAAGAGACGTCTCAAACCAAAATTTCTTTCACAGTGGCCTTCATGTCGACCCGTGCACTCGCATCAAGACCAAACAGGTCGAGCCCTGGTGGGGCACGGGTGGTGTGATATCACACATGATGGGAGTTGAAGCGAGATGAGGCGAGACAAGGAGAGATGAGGCGAGACGAGGCGAGATGAGGCGAGATGAGGAGAGATGAAGCAAGGTCAGGAGAGATGAGACGAGATGAGGCGAGACGAGGAGAGATGAGGCGAGACGAGGCGAGATGAGGCGAGATGAGGAGAGATGAAGCAAGGTCAGGAGAGATGAGACGAGATGAGGCGAGATGATATAACGTGAATGCTCACATGAGGGACCACACTCACATGAAAAGCCATACACCCACAAAAGAGGCACGGCTTGTGAATACTCACATGAGGGGCATGGAAGGTGAATGAATACTCACATGAGGGGCATGGCATGCCGCCATTGATCGTGACAGAGGCGATGGGGGCGCTGGGGAGGATCCACTTGATCTGCAGATGCAGATCAACAAGAGGGGGAGGGATCGACAATGAACGAGAGGGAGGGATCGACAGAGGCGATGGGGGCGCTGGGGAGGATCCACTTGATCTGCAAGAGGGCAGAACCAGATGCACAATGAACGAGAAGGGAGGGATCGACAAGACAAGGGGGCAGAACCAGATGCACAACAGAAACGCACATGCATACCGCCATGAGATTCGCATGGATGTGGGAGAATCAAATGCATGGGAAACATGCGCATGTGACACATGTGCATGCACATACATGCGAGGCACGCCCATTGCCCATTGTCTCGCAGAAATCAGACCAGCCATAGCTGGTATCTCCAGCCTGTGCAGCCATATCACAGCTATACTGGGATGGGATAACTTCTGATACCTTTGGAAGGTGATTTCACGTACATGTGGGAGGTTAACTGTCTCGCAGAGATCGGACCATCCATAGCCGGTATCCCCCAGCCCGTGCAGCCACACCACCGTGGCCGCATGCTTCCCAGCCTTGGCTGGCAGCACTATGGTCTTTGCCGCTGGCGTGCCTGAGGAAAGTGGGGGTTGGGTCGGGGGTGCGTGGGGAGGGGAGGGGAAGGGAGGAAAAGGGAAAAGGCAAGTGAGGGAGAAGAACGGACAGCACGTAGTAGATCGAGGAGTTGGAGCAAGGCGGAATGGTTTGCGGCGCTCCAAAACAGGGGGAGTTGGAGGACACTGGAATGGCGACGGTTATGAGGTTCTACAGTGGCGTGCTGCAGACTAAGCGCACGGAAAAGGAAGCCTGGTAGACTAATGTGTAGTCGAGGAAAGAGAACGATGGAGTGGTTATAGGAAGGAGAGAAAGAGGGAGCGATGAGCGCAGCGAAGGGCTTGCTTGCCGAATGGCAACAGGTCGTCTGAAGGAGGTGTTGAAGGTCCCTGGTTCGGAGAACAGTGCTTGTCGGAGATCGGACAACGGTCATCCCTCGGACTGCTGCTGCTGCTGCTACTGCTGCTTCCATTGCTATCGGAAGCCATGACTCCTCCAACCGCAATCACGACGCCCACGGCGAGAAACAGCGAAACGAATAGAGCGACAGGAACAGGTTGTTTCGCGAACGCTTTCGCGAGGCTCGCACATGATCGGCCTGCGAGGGTACCTGACAGCGGGCTCATGGCGGCAGCAGCCTTCGCGACGAGCCGGGTCGAATGATATTGGTTCCTAGCGGGTGGAACAGTCGACACAGGTGGAGAATGGATCGTTCAATAAGCAGGGAAAAGGGAATGAGAACTGCGGAGAAGAAATGACTTGACATGTGCGAAGTCTGGCTTCGCATTGCGAATGTGATTATAATATGCAGCAGAGTTGACAAAACTACATAACTACAGACACTTTCGGTTACCGACTCGCGAAGTACCTGAACAATGTCAAGGATCCGGGAGCAGGAACGCGTTTATTGTCGGAACCCCGCGATTGGCGGGACAAAGGGAGCTGAGCACCTAGCAGATCAGAGCCCAGACCAGCTACGCTGGGAATCCCGCAAAGAGCGGCGGGAGCAACGCTAAGTAAGAGCTTGGATGAGCCTGACAGCGTAGCGAGCGAGGAGGAACAGGCAGCAGAGGTGGCTTTCGCGGAGATGGGGCTCCACGCAGCCATTCAACGGTGCTGGGAAGCAGATATTCCCTTGAGACAGCTGCCTGTGCTCTGCTGCTGTTAGTGAATTCTAGGGAGGGCAAACGCCACTTGTGGGATGGGATGGGATTCTTTGCCCTTGGGGGTTGAACCGTACGGCGAATAGATGCACAGACTGACAAATGGAGAAGATGGATTCGATGGTTCTGGCATTCCCAAGGGAGCGTCAGCAACCGCAGCGGAACGGAAATAAGGGCGCGTGTGGTCTTTGAAATTTGTAAAAGTTTATGTTTTAAGGGCGAATTTTATTTTTGAACTTACAAAGAAAGAAGTTCGAATTTCCTTCTATCGAAGATCGAACATCGGGCTTACCACACTGTAAAAAATCACACACACATACAAGTTCGAACCCCGACATTCGAACTTGTAAAAACGAGCCGAGCCGCACGTCAACATCATAGGTTACCCGGTTCGCTCGTCTTGACAGTGCGCCACGTCAACATTTTGCGCCTCGGTTTACAAGGACCTAGAGCTCCAACTCACCTTCCGCGCCGAGTGTGTAACCAGGGTACAAATAGCCCCCGTGGCAACACCAAGGGCGGTAGTTTCTTTGACTGACGTCAAGACGGGCGGGACGCGTTGCCACATCGTGCTCGAACGTGCCACGATGCTGGACACGTGGCTACCACTCTGTGCACGAATTGTGGGGTGTCTTCGTTGTGCAACTTCATGCACTGGCGAAGCGCTCGCCCGTTTTGTCAGCTGTTCGGACGTGCTGCAAATCACACACGCTCGCATGAACGTGCGCACGCACGTTCCCGCCTCCGACTCGAGTCAAGTTCATATTTCAAACTCGAACTTTTGCAGAGCCCATACAATGCTTGGTTCGCGAAGCACCCTTCGCGAAATTAGCGAATAGGGTAACCACCCAAAGTTGAAACTTTATTTTGAACTTCTAAACAGACCACACACGCCCAGCAGTGGGGGAGCGGAAACACACTTCTGCGCAGGAGCACGCGCTGGGGGAGACAAGACACACTTTCCGACAGGCACACTTTTGGCAGGATGAGTTGGAATCTGGGGGAATGGCGCTTCAGCAAAGTTGCGCGGCTCGTTGGGGGAATCTGCGATGTGGTTGTCCTTGGGCGGTGAGCAGCAGAATGCGGGCAGAGGGGGAAAACCCGAAGAAAATGTAGGGCGGAGACGGTTCGAGTTTGTTTTTGGGTCTGGCCAATCTCGGTCTGATTCGTTACAAAACGTCAAAACTGATCATCTGCACCAGTGAATCAACCAAGAAAAATGATATATCCATTTACACGTACAAGTTCACAAACTAGGAGCAGTGGTTAACTCATCCAGAGCAAGAACAGCAACACCGGATTTCCAAGGCTGGAATGGCAGAGCCTCTACTTGGTGGAGAGCAGTCGCCCGCAAGTCAAAGTGCAGAGCGAGTGCAACTAGAACGGATCTCAAGAATTCATCCTTCGTTGAGTAATATTGACAAAGTTTGGTGATAAACTGATCATGGGAGCGCCCCTGCAAAAGAGATGTTGAATGAGACCAGAGGAAGTGATTATAGACGAGAATATACTGCTCTTGAAAAGCCCAAACGCCATGATAAGCGGATAATTGCTAGATGGATTGAGCACATCCTTCACCATACAGTCACACGACATACCACACTCACATGCCTCAATTCACCAAACCCTCTCGGTCCAGGCACTGTTGGTTGCACAGAAAAGCAGTCAAACCGAGATTTCATTCATACCCCATATTAAAACGATATGCCACAGACTCACCTGTCTGTACTCAGGAGCACGCGAGGGCTGCTGCAGCAGCGCCATGCGGTGCGAGCAGAAGTCCCAGAGGAACGACGTGTGGTGCAGAAAGCTGCTGCCCATGATGCTCTGCGCGTTGCCGCCCACCTTGAGATCTCCCACCACGTAGTCTGATGACGTGGCACAGTGATGATGCAGGGAGGTTGGGATTGGGGTATATTGAGGTTGGCCCACGGGGCAGGGCACATAGTCTGATGACGTGGCAAAGCGTTATTGCAGGGGGGTCAGGGTTGGGGCACGGGGCATGGCGGTGGTTTTTCTTTTTGTCCCTATGTCGCTGTGCTTGATTCACATACCAATGTTCTTCAAAGCAAGGGCCGCATGGAAACGCCTCAAAATGTTGTCACCATTATCCCTCTCACCCTCCTTCTCACCATAATCCCTCAGGGCGAATCCCGGAACATTTGTCATGGCCGGTCCCAGCAGTCCCTCCGTCCATTCCATTATGACTTTGAGCCAGACTAAAAAGTCATCTCGCAACACACACCATCGTCCCTCTCACCATTATCTCTAAGTGCGAATCCCGGAACATTTGTCATGGCCGGCCCCAGCAGCCCCTCCGTCCATTCCATTATGGGCCGAGGGTACAGTGGCAGGTCCGGCACCGCCGCGCGCCGGCAGATCAGGCTCGTCAGCACCGAGCCTGAGTCCAGCACCACCGTACCTCCGCCGCTGAACCGGCGGACCACCGGCACCCGAGCCTCAAGGACAGCCTCGGTGTGAAGCAGTTCGTGCGGCTTGCTGGTGTGGGGAGGAGCGTGAGGGTGGAAGGGGAGGAGGGGGAAGGAGGGGGGAGGAAGGGGAAGTGGGAGGTTGTGAGGAGATGGGGGAGAAGAAGAATCAAGGAATCCTTCAAGGTAAGGGGGGGTGGGCGAGGTTTGAGAGGGGTGAGGGGAAGGGGAAAAGTAAAAGATTATTCATGACGCTTGCTTGGTGAAAACAGATTAGAACACAACAGGAGAGAGAACCGGAGAGGACAAGAGGTAGCGTTAGGAAAGGAAAGAGGCGAGGAGGAAAGACGTAGGACAAGGGAGTGCAAGAGGGGACAAGGGGCAGAGATGTACAGCAGAAAACGAGGAAATGACTTACCAGGAGACGATGTGACAGCTGGAGGCGATGTGATAGCTGGAGACAAGAGAATTGCTCACCCTGAAATCCCCATCACGATGGTCGGCGCTGCCACGTCAGCATTGAAGACGAACCAGTTGCTGTTTGTCGGGTCGCTTCTGAGAAGCTTCTCCTCCAGCCGCAGCTGCGCCTCCACGTCCATCCCGTCCGCGCGCACCACGCGCACCACCGCGCGTGCGCCGCCTCCCCCCGCCGCGCGCGCGGTGATTCCTCCTATGGTTCGTGTGCCGCTTCCCCCTACCGCCGGCGCATTTGCCCCCCCTGATCGCGCACTGCTTCCCGCTGCCCCTAGGCCGCTTCTCCCTACCGCTTGCGCACCGCTTTCCCCACCTTGCGCCGCGCTTCCCCCTACTGGCGCTGCCATCACGGGGGACGCAGGCGAAGCTAACGATGCTGGCGACATTGGCGATGTTGGCGACGACACTAACGTGCGACGCCATGCGAAGGCTTCAGCAACGAGTGCAGAGACGACAGGCGTGCGATCGACGGTGGAGATCTTCCCCACCCGCCGTGCTATGCGGGCAGCCATTCCGAAACGATCAATACGAGTGGTATCCTCAAAGGGTTTATGAAGTGTCGCAAGACTTCGCAGGACTTCGTTACACCTCGGAATGTCGTTCAGCGAGCATGGATCGTGGCGGCTAGAAAGAAAGAAGTGGCTTTGAGATGGAAAGGCCGTTGAAGGAAACACCCGTCAGCGCACCGCATCACTTGCCAACGCGAGAGATATCTGAGCCCGTGAAATGAAGGATGGGACAAAGAGGTAGCATAAGGAACAGTGACAGTGCCAGAGAGCAAAAGGATCCCGCCAACCGGATTCGAACCAGTGACCTAAGGATTGCTAAACTACAGTCCTCCGCTCTACCAACTGAGCTATAGCAGGATGTCCACGGTACCAAAACATTACAAAATTGTATGTTTTACATTTGTCGGTCCTGGTGTCCCCTTGCTGCTGGTACTGTCACCTCCCGTGTTCCACTTGCTCGCCCTGCCATGTATGCATCAGACTGCGCCCTTCGGTCGCTGCTGTGTCGTCTCCCGTCAGCGGCAGTCAACAGCAGTCAACGACCATCGCATCCGTTGACTCCTCGTTCTCGTGAATCCAAGTCCAGAGACTCTCCTCCCCTTCTCGCGTTGACCAGCCGTCAAACAAGGTCAACGGCAGTCAACAGCGGTCAAGGATCCGTGCATCCGCGCTCTTGGACTCCCCTCTCGCACAGGTTAGCTGAGTTCAACACTGGTCAACGCGAGCACCCAGGCTCCTTGACTAGTAATTCTCACAGATCTGCACCGATCTCTGTCACAGTTGGTCTCACAAGCTGGCCATCCCATGCTGCTAGTGTCGCAGATGTTCGCACGAGCAGACGATCGCGTGCAATCCGTGCCGCTGATTTCCGCCCAAGGAGCCATGTTCGCGCGGATGGTACTAGGGGGAGAAACGTGCGCACGGAGGCAGGGGGGGAAAGTCTGGAGGGCAGCACTCGCGGAAGCGCTCGCGGAGGGGTACGGATTGAGGAGACGGCGGAAGGATCGGGGGAGATGAGCCTGCGGAAGATAGAGATCGCGCGGGCGGCTTTGGCGGTGGTTTTAGTGCAGGACGAAGGGTTTAGCGAAGACCATGCGAAGGCTGTGGCGAGAAACGTAACGGGTTTCGCGCAGTTTGTGTTAGAGCGTGATGCTGACGAACAGGGGGCGGCTGAGCTTGAGAGAAAGCTCATACGCTCAGGGCTTGAACCAAGAACACCTGAAGGCACACCTGAAGGATTGCATGAAATCACATCTGAAGTCACACCTGGGGTTAAGACTGAGGGCAGAGCAGACCATCCGTCAGTTGTGGATCTCCCTTCACTATTAGAACAACCAGCTGGCAGCCCCAAACCCTCGAGCAGGGTTGAGGGTTTAGGCGGGAATAAAGGGGAGGCGCAGGGTGAGAGGGAGTGGCAGGGGGAGGAGGCGGGGGAAAAGGAGGGAGAGGGTGAGGGGGAGGAGGAGCTGTTCTTGCGGCTGGTGGATATGCTGAGGGGGAGTAGGCGGACGGAGGGGGGAGGGCAAGGCGACGAGGGCTATAACGCGCAGCGGCAGCAGCAGCAAGGGGGAAAAAGTGCGCAGTGGCAGGCGGGGGAAGGGGGAGGGCGCGGGGAAGCAGCAGAGCGGGCGGTGGGAGGGGAAGGGGGAGTGAGTGGGGAGGCAGCGGAATGGGTGGTGGCGGCAGTGGCGGAGAGTGTGGGGGTGGCGTGGGGGAGAGCGCGGCAGGTGGCGCGTGTGTGTGTGGGAGTGCGAGCGAGGAGAGTGTGGGAGAAGATTGCTCTTCTCAGGAGCCTTCTCAACGCTGCCCCTGTAAAGACCACCCAAGCCAGCAGTCTTAGCGAAAGTTTCCCTTCCGACACCCACAGCAGTCCCACCAATGGCAGTCTCACCAATGGCACTCCCACCAGTGGCACTCCCACCAGCAACACTCCTACCAGCAACAGCAACCCTGTAATTACCACCAGTAGCACCAACCCTGTAATTAGCACCAGCAGCACCACCCCTGCCACTGCCATGCCAGCCAGCAACGGCAGGAGTGGTAGGAGCGAGGGGCGAGGGGATTCCTTGTGGGAAGCTGCTGGTGCTGGTAGTGCTGCTGTGGGCGATGAAAGAAGGGAAGGGGAAAGAGGGGAGGAGGAGAGGGGTGAGAGGGGAGGGAGAGAAGAGGAGGATAGAGGGCATGATAGTGGGGGAAAGGGGGAAGGGAGAGGGTTCGGAGTGGCTCCTGTTGGGCCGTTGATTCAGCGTGCGATCGGACGGCTGGCAGTGATCGCGAGGGATGATGATGTGCTGCTGCAGAAGTCTCTGGGCTTTTTCCAAAAGGTGCCTTATGGTTTGGAATGGCTCCTCTAGGATTTAGGGTTCGCACCATTTCGTAACAAGGTGACTTCCTCTGGTTTACGCGTGAGGGGTTTGGGTTGGGGTTTAACGTTTCAGGTTTCATTGAATCGTTTCGGCTGTCCCGTTTGGGTGTCATTCGCGTGTTTTGCGGAATGGTGGTTTCATTCGTCTCTTTCTGTCTCCTTCACTCCCCCCTCCCCTTTCTCCCCCTCCCTGCCCCCACCCTCCCTGCACTCTCAACCTCGCACTTTCTCCCTCTGCTCTCCTTTCACACCCCACTCTCACGTGCTTCACGTGTCTCCCCTTTACCTCTTCTCTCTCCCCCCCACCTCCCCCCCCCCTCCCCCTTCCCCAGCTGGCAGCGCAGCGACGTGGAGTCGCGCTATTGGACGACCCTTCCACTGCTCTGCCGGCGCTCGTTGCCGGTTTTCCGGAATTTCTGGCGTGGGAGGAGGAATCTTTTGAGTCGACTCAAAAGTCAACTCTGGCGTGGGAGGAGGAATCTGATGCGTCTGGCAATGTGGATGGGGAGGCTTTTGAGGCGCCTCAAAAGGAATCTGATGCGTCTGGCAATGTGGATGGGGAGGATTGTCTAGAGGCAGATGGAGAGAAGGTGGAGGAGGGAGAGGGGTTGCTGGTCAAGGGAAGGCAGGAACAAGTGAAGGGAGCGCTAGCAAGAGAGGGTAGTGTGGGGAATGTTGTGAGAGAGGGTGTAGATGGGGGGAAGGGGGCTGATGAGGAGGAAGGAGAGGGCAGCAGCACCAGCACCAGAAGCACTAGCACCACAAGTGTCAGCAGCAGCAGCAGCAGCAGCAGCAGCAGCAGCAGCAGCAGCAGCAGCAGCAGCACCGGCAGCGCCACCACCAGCAGCAAGCGAGGCGAGCAGCAGCAGCAGCAGCAGCATCACCACGAGCAGCTACCGCCAGTGCTGCGTTTCCTCGCCCTGCACTGGGGCGTGAACCTCCCCACTCTGCGCCGCCTCCTCCTCTGCCACCCCGCCCTCGCCCTCCACGTGCCCCCCCGCTCCTCCTCCTCTCGCCCTTCCTCCTCCCAACGCCTCGCTTTGCCCCGTGCTGCTGCCAGTCGGACAGGAAACGGGAGGAAGAAGGAGAGGGAGGAGAGGAGCCGGGTGAGGGGGGAGAGGAACCGGGCAGCCGTTTTGGAACGAGAATCAGAGTCAGCGACTTTTGAGACGTCAGTGTCGTCAGAGTCAGCGACTTTTGAGACGTCTCAAAAGTTGGAACGAGAATCAGAGTTGGAACGAGAATCAGAGTTGGCACGAGAATCAGAGTTGGAACGAGAATCATCAGAGTCAGGAGCGGAATCGTTAGCAGCAGAGATCGAGTCAGTGTCGGGCGTGGATGTGACATCAAGGAGAGAGTGCGAGGCTGAGATTGAGGCACAGATGCTGGCATGCAAGCGCCAACTGAAGCAGGTGTGTTTGCCCATTCACGCCCTTACCTTCCCTGCTCGTAACTTGAATTTGGAAGAAAAGTTAGAGTGGATGTCAGGCGTAGAGTGGGCAGGAAGGAGAGAGTGGGAGGCTGAGATCAATGCACAGATGCTGGCATGCAAGCGCCAACTGAAGCAGGTGTGTGTTTGCCCCATTCACCCTCCAAGCTTCTCTACTCTTTGAGTTCTGCCTCTCGTCCTCAATTGATTCTTCTCCAGTGCCCTCTGTTTTGTCCCCTGTGCCGTTTCGGTAAAACCCCATCCACCACCTCCCCATCTGCTGTCTGCTTTCAATCCCCCTCGCCGTCACAGCTGGGAGTGCGCGTGCGGGACCTGCCTCTAATAATCAACCGCTTCCCCCCAGTGCTCTCTGCCTAACCGCACTTTGTCTCTTCCCCCATACCCACCGTCTCTGCTCTGTGCTCCCTCCAATACAACACCCCTCGCCGTCACAGCTGGGAGTGCGCGTGCGGGACCTGCCTCTAATAATCAACCGCTTCCCCCCAGTGCTCTCCCCGTCGGTCTTCCTCAACGCACCAGTGGTCGCCGATGCCGTCACCAACACTCTCAAGGTGCGCTGCGCTGTGCTCACCTGCATGTGCTGTGCTGCCCGGCCCGATGCTGCTGCGCGCCTGTGCCACTAGTGCAGTGAAGACCTGCCCACTTCTTCCCCGTCGGTCTTCCTCAACGCACCAGTGGTCGCCGATGCCGTCACCAACGCTCTCAAGGTGCGCTGCGCTGTGCTGACCTGTGCTGGCCAGGCGCCTGTGCTGCTGCTGCTGGCCTGTGCTGCTGCTGCTGGTCTGTGCTGCTGCTGCTGGCCTGTGCTGCTGCCAGCCAGCACTAGCCCAGGTAGCTCGGAGTGCTCCCTCACCCAAAAGTCAAAAGTCTGCATCCGCCCTCACCATTCGAAATGCGAACATTAATTTGGGCAATTGAGCTTCTCAGACCCTCCCGCCCACCTCTCCCTTACCTCCTCAACCACCTTCTCTTCTCACCACCACCTCCCCACTCCCTTTCCCCTACTCCTCAATCCCATCCCTCCTCCCCTTCTCCCCCTTCCCCAGGTGCCAATCAGCAAGGTTGACCGATGCTCACACGCTGCCCCAAGCTGCTCTCGCGTCTTAGTGCTCGATACACCAAACATCCCAATCCACCCTACACCCCTCTCACCTCCCCTTCCCCTCCTCTTCCCTCTTCCAGGTGCCAATCAGCAAGGTCGACCCGATGCTCACGCGCTGCCCCGAGCTGCTGTCTCTCACTCCGACCAACAGCATCGCGCCAGCTGGCGTGTTCCTACAGGCCGTGGGGCTGACGCGCGGGGAGATGGTGCGCGTGCTCTCTGCCAGCCCGTCGCTGCTGTGCCGGCCCAGGCACCAACTGGGGGAGGTGGGTCTGATAGAAGAGATGGGGGAGGTGGGTCTGTTCTGTTGAGATGAAGAGGAAACAGTGCTTAACCGAGAAAGGTTCACCACCACAGCAACCAACCTGTATTCCTCACGGATCAACTCATCTTTTCCCGCTCACTACCCCCTTCCCCCACCCCTCACACTCAGTCATTAGACTGGTTCAGCCAGTCACTAGACTGCTGCAGGGGCATCTCGCCATCCCTTTTCACGAGCTGCCGCACCTCATCTTCCGCTGCCCAGGCCTGCTGTGCCTCTCTCACCCTTCCTGCTGCAAGGCAAGGCAGTGTTCCTCACACACCAAGCACTTTTCCCCCACCCAACCCCATTTCACCCCCCCCCTTTTCAGTCATTGGATTGGCTACAAGAGAACCTCGCCATCCCGTCCCACGAGCTAGCCCACCTTGTGTTTCGCTGCCCCGGCCTGCTGTGCCTGTCGCCCGCGGTGCTGCACGGCAAGGCTGCCTTCCTCACGGGGGAGGTGGGCGTGGTGGCAGCAGAGGAGGTAGCGCGCGTGGTGTGCCGCTTGCCTGAAGTTCTCACCATGAGTGTCAATTCTATGCGGAACAGGTGAGGAGTGTGCATTGCAGGGCGATGAGGTGACTTTTGAGTCGACTCAAAAGTCACCTCGAACAGGTGAGGAGTGTGCTGTGCAGGGCGATGAGGTCAATTGAACCCGGATGGGGTGTATGGGAAGAGGACCAGGTACCTTCCTCTCCCTTCCTCCGTCTCTCCTTACCTCCTCCCATCCTACCCCTTGAGTGTTGAGCCTTCTCACATATTGAGTCGACTAGAAAATACGCCTGCGCTGAGCCTTCTTTCTCCTCTCCCACTCTTCTCTTTCCATCCACCACCCCTTCTCCACGTGTCAGGATCTCCTTCCTCTACTCCCGAGGCTTCTCCCGTGCTGACGTGGCAGCCATGGTGGTTCGGTACCCACCGCTCCTGGGCTACAGTGTTGCTGCGGTGCTTCGGCCGAAGCTGGACTTCTGGCTCGAGGAGGAGGAAAAGGGGGTGGAGAAGAGCGATGAAGGCACCCGCACCAGCGTCACCAGCAGCACCGGCAGCACCGGCAGCACTGGCAGCACCGGCAGCAGCAGCACAAGCAGTACGAGCAGCACGAGCAGCAGCTACTACCCGCGCTCGCGCTCCGACCTGGTGCTCTTCCCCAAGCTCTTCAGCTACTCCCTCGACTCCCGCATCCGCCGCCGCCTCCGTGTGCTGGCCAGTCGCGGCCCGCCACGTGGCAACAACTCCAGCAGCAGCAGCAGCACCACCACCACTGCCAGGCAGAGAAGCAGGGAGCAGAATCTGAGGCAACGGGAGCTGGTGTATCTGCTGAGCTGTCCTGAAGAGAAGTTTGCCGCCCAGGTGCTCGGACTCAACTTCATGCTTGTGCCCCTGCGCGCGCCCCAGGCCTCTGCTGTTACTGCAGGTGCACCAGCAAGTGATGGTGGTGCTAGTGGTGGTGGCGGGGTCGGTGGTGTGAGCGGTGGTGCTGCAGCTGCTGCTGTGGGTGCAGCGTCAGGTACTGGCCTTGGTGGTGGTGATGGTGATGGTGGTGGTGGTGGCGATGGTGATGGTGGTGGTGGTGGCAGTGGTGGTCCTAGTGGTACTGCTGCTGCTGCCTTGCCGGCTCCAACTAGTGGTGATCAAGCTGCAAGGCGTGTTCAAGGAACTGGCGCCACCCGTCCAGATTCGCGTAAAAGGTTTCCTGCAGAAGCAGGTGTTTTGGAAAGAGAAGCCCCCTCTGGCGGAGCTTCCCTTGCCTCTGTGGCTGCCAGGTCAGCAGAACCCACTGCCAGGTCACCTGCCACTGGTGCCAGGTCAGCAGCCACCTGGGGATCAAGGAGAGATGCCATGGACCCACCAGTATTACCAGGAGAGGAGAAGATCTCTCAGGAAGGGCGAAACTTTTCGGCTAGAAGAGCTGATTATTCACCTGATGCCAGCCGTGGTTCACCGGAAGGTAAGGTGGTATCGTCTGTTCCTATGAGGAGAAAAATGCCTGAAGCAGCGTCTCGGAACATGGGACTGGATGGTAGTTCGGCAGGGATTTTGGATAGAAAGGGAAGGACGGACGGAAGTGGGGGCAAGGGTGATACATTAGGGTCGAGAGGGGAAGATGAGTGGAAGAATCTTGAGGAGTTGTTTTTAACCGAGGAGGAAGAGGAGTTTGGGAGGATTAGGGGAGGCAGGAAAGGGAGGAAAGGGAAGAAAAGGCAGTAAAGATTATGTGTCATGATCGTTGATGTAGTATAAAAAGTCCATAACAAGCTTCATGCGGTGCATAAGAGTTGCTGCTCAGTGATTTGACGTTGTTCCTATGAACTAGTTGAGAGAATTTTGCAGCAACACATCAAGATGGTGTGGGAGGTGAGGGGAAGGGAGTTTTCCTCCCCAGAGGTTTGTAGATTGAATATAAGAAGTAATATCGACTTCAGAATACCGTACCTGTAAATCGACTGTAATGCGGACATGTTTCGCTGTGCAGAACTGCGTCGCAGCGTGCGACATGTGCTTTGCTTTTGGCTGTCGTGCACTGTGTCGTGAGGGTCGTCACTATCGTCAGCGCGTCGCACCTAGTAGTCAGCGGCGCGGAGGTTTCTGGGTTAGTAATTTTCGGTGACGGTAGCAGTCCTAGTCATATAAACCAATGGCAGTTATAAACTAGTCTTTAGGCAGGGCCTATAGGCACGGAGTGCCATGGATAATACTGGTAGGAACATGGATGGCCACGTGGCACTCGATCCCCATTCCCATTGGTCCCTAGACGAACTTAACCGCGAGCTTGACTCAATCCAACGGCGCACAGGCCCAGTCCCCGCCAAGATCCGCCCGCGAAATGCGGCGCAGTATGCGGCGAAGGCCTCGCGCCGTCTCCAAACAGGATCAACAAGCACCGCCGTCGCCGCACCCGCCGCCTTCGGAGACGGCGCTTTTGGCGCTGTACCCTGCTGGGCATCCGAACTCGGAGACTCCGCGCGATCTCCGGCGCGACCCCCGGCGTGGATGACGGCCGGTCGAGGATCCGCGAGCAGCAGCGGCAGCAGCGACGAGGAGAGGGAGGAGTCAGCTTACGGCGGAGGGTTGGGCGGAAACTTCTATCCGTCTCCTAACGCGCGCGCGGAAACGGGTAGCGCGGGGAAGGACAGGCGGAAGAGCGCGGGGAGCGGCGGAAAGAAGCCGCGGAAAGCGTCGTTCCACATCAGCCTTAGCAGCAGCGACTCTAGCGGCTCGGACGGGGAGGGGGAGGTTGGGAATGGGGAACGGGTCGGCGGAGATGGGGGAAAGCGGAGGGGAAGTTTAGGCGGGAGGGGGAGTGCGCTGGACGCGGAGAGGCCAGTGGCGCGGCCTGTGAGGCGGGCGGAGGCGGAACTGGGGGAGGTGGAGCGGAAAGTAGCTGCTGAGGTGGAGGTACGCGCTTGGATATTGAAATGGGGTCGTGTGGTGGTGGTTTAGGTGCGACGTGTGCTAAAGCTTCTGGAGGAGGCTGAACTGGGGGAGGCGGAACTGGGGGAGGCGGAACTGGGGGAGGCGGAACTGGGGGAGGCGGAACGGGGGGAGGTGGAACCGGGGGAGGTGGTACTGGGAGAGGTGGAACTGGGGGAGGTGGAACTGGGGGAGGTGGAACTGGGGGAGGTGGAACTGGGGGAGGTGGAACTGGGGGAGGTGGAACTGGGGGAGGTGGAACCGGGGGAGGTGGAAGGGAAGGTCGCTGCTGAGGTGGAGGTACGTGCCTGGATATTGAAATGGGGTCGTGCTCTGCTCTGCTTTCCACGAGCATTCTTCTGCCCTCCCCCCTCTCCCCCCCCACCACCCGCCTCTCCCTCACGTCGTGGCAGGAGGAGGTGAGGCAGCGGCGGGTGCGGCTGGAGGGGAGGCTGATGGAGGAGCGGGAGAAGGGGCGGGCAGCCGTAGCTGCGGTGGAGGCACAGCGAGAGGCGGTGCAGGCCACACTGGCTCGGCTAGATAGGGAGCACTGGCAGGCCGTGTAAGCTCAAGAAAGGGTGTGGGTGTGCGGTAGGTGTGTATATGTGACTAATGAGGGAGAGTGTTTAGGGATGTGTGCGGGAGGCACAGCGAGAGGTGGTGCAGGCCACACTGGGAAGGCTTGATAGATGGAGAGTACTGGCAGGCTGTGTGAGTGGGGGACGGTGCGACTGATATGTGAGGGTGATTAGGACTGGGTGGGTCTGATGCCAATGGGAGGTGACGCTGGCTCAGCTTGATAGAGAGCACTGGCAGGCTGTGTGAGTGGGGTGAATGATGGCAAAGTGATGACTTTTGAGTCGACTCAAAAGTCACCTTGTGAGTGGGGGTGAATGATGGCAAAGTGATTGGGCGTGTGACTGACGTGCGGCAAAGGGTGGTGGGTGGGTGGATTGACGAGGTTGGGAGATTAGGCAGGTTGAAAAATAGTGTTTCATTATTTTATCTTGTTGTATCTATGTGTGTTTGTGTGCGTGGTTAAATGTATGCATATGTGCATGTGTGATCATGTGTGCAAGTGTGTACATGTGCATGTGTGTGTATGTGTGTGTGTGTGTGTGTGTGTGTGTGTGTGTGTGTGTGTGTGTGTGTGTGTATGTGTGTGTGTGTGTACACGTGTGTATGTGTGTATGTGTGCATTGGTGAATGGGTGTGTGCATGTAAACAGAGAAGAGATGAGGGATTCTCACATCCGTCGGCTGTCTCAGGAGCACGAGCAGAAATCGGAGGTCAGTAGTAACCAGATGTTACTGGTAACCACAATTTAGTGGCAACCAGGAAACAATGGTAACCAAAAGTTAGTGTTAACCGGACTTCAATCAGTGGCACCAGAGTTCGATGGTAACCAGGCAATACTAGAGGTTAGATTCTCCCTCTCATCTCATCTCCTTCCACCTTTTCACCGTTTCACTGGAATCTGGGGAGCCGCAGCTTCTGAGATGGCTGAAGAAGAGGTAAAATCCCTCTTTAAGACGACTCTAAAGTCGAGGTTATATAATAATTCTTCCTTCTCATCTCCTTGCACCTGTTCATTCGTTTCACTGCAGGCTGGGGAGTCGCAGCTTCGGAGAGAGGCGGCGGCGGCAGAGGCTCGGCGCCGAGCCGAGATCGAAGCTGAGCTTCGGGCAAAGCAGCAGAGGGAGATGGAGGAGGAGAGGAGGAGGAAGGAGGAGGAGAGAAGAAGGAAGGAGGAGGAGGAGAGGAGGAAGGAGGAGGAGCGGAAGAGGGAGGTGCAGAGGCAGCAGCAGGAGGTGGAGGCGAGCAGGAGAGCAGCCCAGGCAGCAAAAGCAGCTGCTGATGCAGCCGATGCAAGAGCAGCAGCAGAGGTGGGTTGGGTTGGGTTGGGTTGAGGTGTGGAGCGCTGAGCCAAGGCAGCAGCAGGAGGTGGAGGCGAGCAGAAGGGCAGCCCAGGCGGCAAAAGCAGCTGCTGATGCAGCAGACGCGAGAGCAGCAGCAGAGGTGCGTAGGGCTGGGTGGGTTGGCCTGGGTTGAGTTGGGTTGTGCGGGGTTTGGCTGAGGTGCTAGACTAAAGAGCTGAGCCGAGACAGCAGCAGCAGGAGGTGGAGGCGAGCAGAAGGGCAGCCCAGGCGGCAAAAGCAGCTGCTGATGCAGCAGACGCGAGAGCAGCAGCAGAGGTGCGTAGGGCTGGGTGGGTTGGCCTGGGTTGAGTTGGGTTGTGCGGGGTTTGGCTGAGGTGCTAGACTAAAGAGCTGAGCCGAGACAGCAGCAGCAGGAGGTGGAGTCGAGCAGAAGGGCAGCCCAGGCGGCAAAAGCAGCTGCTGATGCAGCAGACGCGAGAGCAGCAGCAGAGGTGCGTAGGGCTGGGTGGGTTGGCCTGGGTTGAGTTGGGTTGTGCGGGGTTTGGCTGAGGTGCTAGACTAAAGAGCTGAGCCGAGACAGCAGCAGCAGGAGGTGGAGGCGAGCAGAAGGGCAGCCCAGGCGGCAAAAGCAGCTGCTGATGCAGCAGACGCGAGAGCAGCAGCAGTGGTGGGAAATTTGAGGGAATCTGATGGCAGCAATGTTGCAACATTTTTGGGGGAAGGGTAGGGTGGGGTGGGTTGTGTGATCGTATGTGTGTGTGGTCTTGCTCTTTGCTCCTTGTTCCTTGTTCGTATTTATGTGTGCTTGCGCTCTTTTACTTGGTGTAACTTCGTTCACTTGGCTGGAAATTATACATCCACCCATCACTCCTTCTGCTCCTCACTTTCCTTGTTCCAGGCGAAAGCAGCAGCAGTTGCAGAAGCAAAAAAGAGGCAAGGTGAGGGGGACGAAAAGGGGGGTGAGTGTGCAGTGGTGACATACGGTGATGAGGGGTGATGATGGGGCATGTCAGCGAAAAGCGATGATGGGAGGAGCAAGCCAGTGATACAAGTCCACAAGGGAATGCATTCCAAAAGGAAATCGAGCATTCTATTGGAGAAGTCCAAAGACGAGTCGAGTCGAGTCGAGTCGGGTCGGGTCGGGTCGGGTCGGGTCGGGTCGGGTCGGGTCGGATCGGGTCGGGTCGTGTCGAGTCGAGTCGAGTCGAGTCGAGTCGAGTCGGGTCGGGTCGGGTCGGGTCGAGTCGACAATTCTGGCGCCCTAATACAGCATTTGTGTTGCTTGCCTGTCCCTCATCACACCGTCCACACCATTCACTCCTCTCTGGTTCGTTTTGAAGAAAAAATAATGTAGTAATTATTATCACTAATAATTGTAATAATATTAATAATAATAGGAATATTAGTAAAATCGCTCACTCATTTCTCCTGCCCTCCCCTACATGCTTTCCCCTAGCAGCACAGAGGAGTTCCAAAGTGCAAGTGGCAGAAGGGGCAGCAAAGGAGGCGGAGGCCAGGCTGACACAGCTGAAGGCGATCTCCTTTCCCCATTCCCTCTATTTCCTCCCAACGCTCCAATCAAGCAGTGCAGAGAAGTTCCAAAGTGTGAGTGGCAAAAGGGGACAGCGAAGGTTTCTGATTCAACCGAAACAACACTCCCTTCCCACTCCCTCTTTCCTCCCTCCAATGCTCCCATGAAGCAGCGCAGAGGAGTTCCAAAGTGCGAGTGGCAGAAGGGGCGGCGAAGGAGGCGGAGGCCAGGCTGGCACGGCTGAAGGCGATGCGCGATGAGATCGCTCCCATCATGGCTGATAATGCACGGAAGAAGGTGAGAACAGGGCGAATGCATAGGCTCCTCTGTCCTTGCGTTGTTGCGCTGCAATGCAATGCACCAAGCTGCATCACATCGCATCAGACCACATGTCACCATGATTGATCTCGTCCCTCTGCATTGGATCCTCCTTGAGTCAAACTGCATCTCATTGCAGCGCACACATTGCATCGGACTACATGCAACCGCATCCCACTCCGTCCGACCGCATTGCACTGCAGGACCGCAAGACTGTGGAGCGGCGAATCATTCTGCTGGTTCAGCAGATTTCAGCCATGCATGACCAAATCGCGTAAGAAGTGATGTGGCTTCGCCCAACATGATGTGGAATGACGCAGCAAGATGCGGCATGAGGGACACACACATACATTTATTTCTGAGTCGACTCAAAAGAATGATGCAGCAAGATGCGGCATGAGGGACACACACATACATTTATTTCTTTGTGTGCGTGCGTGCGTGCGTGCGTGCGTGCAAGCGTGTGTTGTGTTATCCATATTTGAATGAAGCAGTAGGAGACTCGTCTCTAGGCTCCTTCTATTCGGTCCACTCTGGACCAAGAGTGGGTAGTCATGGCTGGCTGGCTGTCTAGCTTGCAAAGTGCACCGTTTCTCAATTATCGTAATCACGTTAATCAGGTGCTTCACAAATGAAAGAAACAGAATGTGTCCAGTCATCCACCTCCCATTGTTCCTTCACTGCTCTGTGCTCTTAATGATGGATGCCTTGAATAAGTTATTTTCTCCCCTTGAAAGACTATTTGTTTTGAGACGTCTCAAAAGCAGGTCTCCTTTCGTATGTGTCTAGCTAGTCTAGTCATCCGCCTCCCAATGTTCCTTCGCTGGTCTCTGCTCTTCATTTATGTGTGCCTTGGCTGGTTTTTCTTCTCCCCTTTTTCTGCAACCAATCACACAGCAAAAAGTCTGCCGATCTCACGGCTCTCTTGCGGGACCCATCCCTTCCCCAGACGTTCGTCGCAATTACCTTCGCCTCCAAGGTATGTTGCTCACTTCACTCTCTTTATACATGTGAAGTAAGATGTCTGCTGGTCTTACAGCTCTTCTGCGGGACCCATCCCTTCCCCAGACGTTCGTCGCAATTACCTTCGCCTCCAAGGTATGTTGCTCACTTCACTCTCTTTATACATGTGAAGTAAGATGTCTGCTGGTCTTACAGCTCTTCTGTGGGACCCATCCCTTCCCCAGACGTTCGTCGCAATTACCTTCGCCTCCAAGGTATGTTGCTCACTTCACTCTCTTTATACATGTGAAGTAAGATGTCTGCTGGTCTTACAGCTCTTCTGCGGGACCCATCCCTTCCCCAGACGTTCGTCGCAATCACCTTCGCCTCTAAGGTGCGTTGCTCACCTCACTCACTCTGAGAGCCACAACTTGTGTTGGCCCAGGCGCGTTGCTGAGATGATGCTTACTGAGTTGCCGTGCTGAACTGGCTTCTGCATGTGTTGGTGCACTGACGTTGATTTTGAAATTTCTCAAAATCACACCCCCCCCCCCCCCCTCTTCCCTTTTTTTTTTTTTTTTTTGGTGTGTTGACTTTGAGACACTACATGCAAAAGCTAACCATTCTTTCATGGTCTCATCAGACACTCCCTTCTTTCATGCCGTATACCCCTCAAGCCAGATTCTATCGCAGTGCGAGTCCCAAGTTACCAAGTTACCGCCGTTCGCATTCGCTCTCGCGCAAGTCATAGTGAACGTGTCCTCTCAGGTATAAATCTATTTTCTTTTCTCTCTTCATAAAATGGCCTCTATTTTCAACTGCTTTTAGTTTCTCCAAAATGGCTGCCTCTTCTCTCCCCATCGCTTTTGCTCTCTCTTTCTGCTGCAGGCGCCCATAGCCATGGAGGCCTTGATGGCAAGCCTGAATGAGACCTGCATCTACACCGTTCCACAGCACTATGTCTTTTCCGAGGTATGCTCTTTGTATTCACTTGACTATGGCGCAATGTTCTTTTATTTCGTTGTTGCTACCCCTTTATAATAACCTTTCATTGTCATACCCTTGTTTATATCCCCTATTTGTTGCGGGGCTGTTACCTATCGGATGATGCCTACTGCTGTGACCTTTGAGTTGGCTCGTTTAAAGTCACGACGATGCCTATTACTGTGGCTTGGGGTACAGGGAGGAAGAGGAGGAGGGCAGAAAGGTCTCAAACCCCCATCTATTATCCCCCAGTTATTGTCCCCCCTATTTTATGCCCTTTTAATGATTGTCATTGCTAGGCCTCTTACCCCTCGGACGACGCCTATTATCGCAATTTAGGGTTTAGGGTTTAGGGTTTAGGGGGGCAGGGCAGGGTGGGAAGAAGCTGATTGCTCCACCACTACCCGCCTGTATTCTCTCCTCCTCCCCCCTCCATGTTACCCCCACTTGTGGTGCAGGCCTCGTACACTTGTGATGATGCCTATTATCATGATTTGGGGTACCGGGAGGAAGAGGGAGGAAGCGCACTGCTCCATCACTACCCGCTTGTATTCTTGCATCTCCCCCCAAATATTACCTCCAACTGTGGTGCAGGCCTCCTACGCTTCTGATGATGCCTATTATCATGATTTGGGATACCGGGAGGAAGAGGGAGAGGGCGGAAAGAAGAAGATGGAGTCGACCGATGCGTTTATAGAGAGGATGACAGGATACATCACACTCATGGCTGCTATATGCCAGGTATGCTTATAGCGAGTATGGAGGGCGGAAAGAAGAAGATGGAGTCGACCGATGCGTTTATAGAGAGGATGACAGGATACATCACACTCATGGCTGCTATATGCCAGGTATGCTTATAGCGAGTATGGAGGGCGGAAAGAAGAAGATGGAGTCAACCGATGCGTTTATAGAGAGGATGACAGGATACATCACACTCATGGCTGCTATATGCCAGGTATGCTTATAGCGAGTATGGAGGGCGGAAAGAAGATGGAGTCGACCGATGCGTTTATAGAAAGGGATGACAGGATACATCGCACTCATGGCTGCTACATGCCAGGTATGCTTATAGCGAGTATGGAGGGCGGAAAGAAGAGGATGGAGTCGACTGATGGGTTTATGGAGAGTATAACAGGATACATCATTCTCATGGCTGCTATTTGCCAGGTATGACTCTAGCAGGAGTGATAGTCTACAATACACTCATGCTGTAAGCTCAACACACGTTTTTTTTTACTCCCCTCTCTCCTCTGTGCCAGACCCTCCCACCACCTGGCACCGCAGTGCACCCCTTTGGCTTGTCCCATGCGTGGCAGTGGTGTGCTCGGCTACTGAACCACCTTCCGGCCAATCGAGCGTCGGCCACCGCTCTGGAAGTGTTTCTCAAGGTACATGTACAAATGACGCTATAATAAACAAGCATCGGTTTTTCCTCTGGTAGCATAAAAGTACACTTGAGAGTGCATCTAATATTTCTGCGTGCATCTCTTCCCATTCCCACTAACCCTATCCTTCTCCACTACCCGGCAGATTGCTGGTTACCGCATGCACCTTACGTACCGCTCGCAGTTCCTGAAGCTGCTAAATGTGGTGGGAAACGAGTATAGGGGCAAGCTGCAGGCGCTGAACGATGCTGACGTGGCGCCGGTGGTTAACCGAATCGAGACATACGTTGGTGTGCAGAGGTATCTGAGGCCGCCTGAGGGGCTGGAGATGCCGCTGCATGATAAGTCGTCGCAACTCAGAGCATAGAAAGAAAAGGTGCCTGCCTAGGTAATGCAAAAGTCTCTGCTAGCAGCATCAATAAAATAGTTCTACTTTACAATCAGCATTGCAGTGCAATGGCCCATGTTATGGTTATTCCCAGGTTTCCAAATGTTCACCCAGCCATGGTAGCAGTACTACTGTATAAATACAGGGGATGCCATGCCATGCCATGCCATACCATGCCACGCCATGCAGACACGTGGGATATGAGAACGTTTTCTTATATTGATTGATGAGCCCAGCTTCCCGAGACGCAGAAAGAGGTTCAATGGCATGTGTCTGGGGCAAATCTTGAATACCAGCTGCCCCAACTTCCAGCTTCACACAACCAGCAGATGACACACCGGTAAGTGACGCCTCCAGGGTCTCAGGATCACACCCTGAAGCTTTGCACCCTGAATCTCATACTTGGTACCTAATGGCTTCTTGTGGAAGACTCCTCATGTTTCTTCACGAACTGCGCCAGCGCATACTTGAGCGCGTCTACAGTCACACCATCGTCTACAAGCACACTCGTTACACCCAGGGACCCGATCTCCCGCGTGTTCCTGGACTCATCATCAAAGAACAGCATGTCTCGGTACGCGATCCCAGTTCGCCTCCGGATCGCCTCGAAATGCTCCGTTTTGTGGGTCGAACTGGGGTAGATCTCAGCCGCTCGTACCACACGCTTTAACTCGATCGCATTACCATCGACATTGCTGCTGCTGCTGCTACTGTTTCTGCTGATGCTCCTTCCGCTCCCGTGCCCTCTGGAACTGCCGTATCCGCTGCTGAAGCTGCCACCGTCCTCCATCTGAAACCCTAATTTGTCCAGAAATACCCGGGCTATGTCCGGAGTCGGCGTACGCGACGCGAAGGCGATGGGTATCCCCGCAGCCGCGAGAGCCGATAGAACCTGACCCGCTTCTGGATACAAGCGCGGGCTGTCGCTCTTTCTCCTACATTCGCACCAAAAGGGCCATAGGGTGTAGTCTAGATCGAACACTACAAGTTTAGGGACCGGTTTGTCGGATTCTTGAAGCGTGTGGATGGCGGATAGGGCGGCGAGCTCGGCCGGGTCACGCAGTTCGCCTCCCTGAGGATCTTTCGCCCACACCATTGTTGCGATCGTCGATCGTGCGTTCGCAGAAAGGGTGTTCGCGAATCGTGCGTTGGCGAATTGCTTAATGGTGCTGGTCGTATGGACTCTGGATCTCTTGATCGACGAGCAGATAGTGGTAGGGTTATGTGGGCATGCTTGATAAGGGTCACTCGTGCAGACGATGCCGCCGATGTGCCGGCTGCCCTGCTCGAGAGAAGCGAGCAGGCTAGCACGCCTAGACAATGCCAGCGGGAAGCTAGTCGAGTTCCTAGGAACGGCTAGCATGGCATAGTTGGTGTCATGTGAGAACTCGAGAGAGCCAATACACCTCTAGTTACTTGTGAGGTCTGCTGGGATGGTTCTAGAGAGTGTTTGCGATTCCTTCTTTTGCCGTCAGTTATTTTTGTTGAAAAAATCGATAACAGACGATTTTCCACGAGTACGCTAATGGCGAGGATAGTGCATCACTTCGATCACGTGGAGTTGGGTCTCACGTTCTCTCGAGGTGTCTCCAACACGAGTCAAAAGCAGCCACGAAAAGTACGGGCCGCACGGTACAAGAGTGTCCACGAAACTATTATGTGGAATACTTTCGAGGGTTTTCTGAGCGGATTTTATAACCACCGAAACCCCTACCAAACGTCACTTCGTTGCCGGTCGGTGTGAAGTCCTGGAAGGAAACTTGCCCTGGTGTCACTTTGTGAATACCCTCGGTTATTGCTTTAGCTGGGAGCTTCGAATTACTTTCGCCTTGGCAGTTTTATCCACTTGGCTTCTCTGTCGTCTATTACCAGAAAATGGTTTCACTGTATCATTGCTTTGGCACTGCTTGCACCTCCAATTCCAAATCCGACGGACTACATTCGACGATCTGTCGCGTCTCGCCTTGTCAGCCCCACCTGAATGACCTGTTCTGGTTACGCGGAACCCCGGAGCCCAGATCCATCTCCCTCGCCTGCAATCCGCCGATTCCTCTTCCGCAGACACGATTTTTTCCACAGATCAGCTTGTTCCGCCGCCGACGTCCCGCGCACTGCGAGCGGGCGCTTCCATTTCCCCTCTGGTCGCTGGATGTTCACGCGCGAGGCGGGTGGGCTTCTGCTCGAAATAACCACTCTGCTTTCCGCGGAGCACCACCAGGGGGGAACTAGTGGAATCCCAAGGGCAAAGATTGTGGTTGTGTGGGTGCGGCTGTGCTGTGTGGCTCAAAACACGGAGGCCGCATCGCGGCAAGCTTTGGGATGGGACGCTCAGCATAGCATCTTATCGAGTTGCCTGTGGCTCGCTCACTACTCTCGAGGCAGAAACTTATGAAGCATTTTCATAGTTTCCAGTCTTGAGTCCAGACTTTAGTTCCAATTGTGAACTTGCGAGCCCGTAGCCCTCCATGATAAGGAAACGCGAGCAGCGCATTTGGTTTATTTCTTGCCGTAATCTCCCTAATAGAAGATCACGTTCCTCCATGTAGCGGTCTAGTAACCTCGCGTTTTCTTCCAGCCGAACGCAGCATACCCGTTACTTCAACACTAACCAGTCAAGCATTCACCCATGAAGTGTTTTGGACTAGGCGGATCATTCAACGCGCGCGATGATGACGGGGCAGGCGGAACAGTCTCCGCACCCACGTCCGCCTGTAGCACTCCCTCGGGTCATCCGCCTATCCGAAGCCGTTTCTTCAACTACCTCGGCTCTCCAACGCACCACCCGCAGAGCCTCACCTCCTCGCCTCGCACGCCAATCGCTCCTACACTAAGCGACGTTCTCGCAGATGCTAGTATCGAGGATGAAAACCTGACCTGCTCCCCCTCGTCCCAAGCTCCCCCAGCATCCGCCGCGTCGCGCTTTCTCCAGAGGCAAGCCTCCGAGCCGTATAACAACCAACCGCAGTGTGGCGATTCCCCTTCCCGAACCTCCAATTCTCCCCGCCAAAACGTGCCTCGGAGCCAGTCTGGGTCAGTGGCAGTGGTAACCACCCCGCCTTTGCCGCGAGTAGGTTCAGTTGGAGGCGGCTCGGTCGGAACAGCCGGGGAGGAGTCTGTAGAAGACGAGTTAGTTGTGGAAGGTAACGGTTCCGCGTTGGGGCGAAGGCAACGGAGAAGCTATGACGGCGGGTTAGGGTTAGGTAGCCCCGGCGGCGTGCGCGCGCCGTCGCCGCTCGGCGGGTCGCACGGAACGTCACCCGGCGACGGAGCAGGCTCTCCGTCGCCTGTTCGCCCCGCGTCTTCGCACGCACCCAGGCAGCAGTCGCAGCAGTCGCAGCAGCAGCAGCATCAGCAGCAGAGGCAGGTTCGACGAAGTCACAGCACGTCAGCCGTCGGGAGCGTTCATGCAAATGGCAGTGCTGGCGGCGGCAGTTCCGGCGGCAGCGGGGGCGGTAACAGCAGGTCCTTTAATTTCAATTTCACCAATAAAGGATCTGGCGGCGGAAGCGGCGGTGGCGCCGGAAGCGGCGGACATGGCGGTGGCGGCGGTAACAGCGGTAGCGGGAGAGGGTCCTCGGTGCAGATGTTTAGCGGGTCGAACGTTAACCCGTTCGCGCTTCGGATCACGCAGAAAATGAACTCGCCCTCGCCTCTCGTGAAGCCTGGAGGCGCGGCGAACGGAACTGCAACAGAGGCAACGGAGGTAGGGGAAGATTCGGCGGCAGATCCGCCGTCCGCGACACAAGACGCAGCAGTAGATGGCAATACCGGGGCCGATCAATCCGTCGTTTTAAGCACGCCGCGGCGGCCGCACGACCGTGCGATGCAGCGCGATATGTTGCTCATAGATGACGTTCTTAGGCGATCGGATCTTCGCGTGTTCTCCTATCCGGAGCTAAAATCTGCAACTAAGGGGTTCTCGAGCGATTTGCTTCTAGGAGCCGGCGGGTTCGGGAAGGTCTTTAAAGGGGTATTGAAGCCGGGAAGCTCGCAGGGTTCGGGAGCGGCAAACATGGCGGCAAGCGCGGCGGGCAACGCGCTGGAAAGCGCCGCAGCGGCGGTTTCGGGGGTATCTGGGGGATCACCGGGAGGCGGGGGCACTGCTGCGGGGGCGTTGAACGGCGGAGGGGTTGGGGAAGGGCGGAGGGCGCTGCAGCAAGAGGTGGCAATTAAAAAGCTGGACTCGAAGAGCCTTCAGGTGAGAGAAATGGTCATGTGAAGAGTCTTATGAATACAACAATGTTTACATACACACATACACACATATCAGAGGAATTTTGAGGCTAATCAAAACAGAGCGCACTGCAGCAAGAGGCGGCGATCAAGAAGCTGGACTCAACGAGTCTCCAGGTGAGAAGAATGGTCAAATAAAGAGCCTTATGAATACAACAGTGTATGAAGAGCCTTATCGGAGGAATCGACAATTATAGCGCCTTCAGGTGAGACTGAGGAGAAAGTGAGATAATGGGCCGCCAGGTGACAGAGAAGAACAGTGTTGGAAAGCCGACAACAGGGGGAAAAAAGAAATGAAAAGAAAAAAGACGAAGAAGAAGAAAAAAAACACGGAGGGCGGTGCAACAAGAGCTGGTGATTTGATTGATTATTTCAAGAGATTTTCAGTGAGTCTGGGATGGGACGTCACTTAAAAATATATGCACTTTGAAGGCTCGAGGAAAGGCATGGATTAGGGTTTTGCTGGAAACGAGGGAATAGCCACTGACTGATCAATGTTTTGTGTGATGTGAACGCACATGCTGTAAAGAGGTACGCTAAACATCTTGTAAAAGCGCAGGAGAACCCTCGCTTCTGTGCCGAGGGCCACCGCCGCCTGCTTTCCATTCAATCACTGCCTTCTCTCTTCCCTCTGCCTCCTCTGCCCCACCATTGCAGGGCCACAAGGAGTGGATGGTTGAGGTGCGATTGCTAGGCCTGATTGACCATCCCAATCTCGTCAAGCTGCTTGGCTTCTGTGCCGAGGG